TCATTATGTTGAACATTAGCCAATGTCGAGTATTTACGTTGGGACTAGAGTTTATCTTTCTTTAGCACTATTTTATTTTAATTTTTCAAATTTTTATAGTGAAATTTAAATTCAAAATTAATTTGACCTACAAATTAATGCAAAAGTGTAAAAAAATCACTGAATCAATTGACCTGATATGCTCGATAAAGGAAACTTCAAATCTAACTACTGGTAGCTTTTTGTGGTTGCTGATGGTTGTCTGGAGAGCATTTTTATGTTTTATTTTGGTTGTAAATTTATAAGCATCTTTTTTGTTTGATTTCTTTTTACATTTGTTTTTTTTGTTGTTGTTCGGTTGTCAAAGTCTCTTCTCATTTTATTTCGGCTTATTCACTTCATGATGCATTATTTGACGGTAAACATGCTATTAGCATGTTTGTGTTTTGGGAACATAAATTTTTTTTATAGCTCAAAACTCTCATGCAAAATGTTTTTTTTTGGCTCAGAAAGCGTAAGTTCAAATTTTATCGGCTTGAGAACCACAGCAAATTTAACACTGATAATTTTTTTTTGCTTTTCTCGAAAAATCTTTCCTCGAAAAATTAAAATGACACAAAAGTAATTTTTCAGATCAAGCTGTTTTGAACGTTTTTTCCTACTTATGGAGCTTTTAACCCATTTTCTGTCGGCCTGTCGTGTTGAATTTCATGTAGTTTTAACCTCCGCGTCAACTCGTATACAATAAGTTCTAGAATGAATTTGAAAACCTGCTCAAAATGTTTTGATGGAGCCTTTAAATTTTTTTAAATCTTTATTTGTTTCCTTTTTTTCTAATACAAAAAGATAAATTAGTTCGTTGAGTGCCATTGGTTGATTATTTGTTACTTTGATTAAAAGTTACTTTGATTAAAATTTGATTAAAAGTAAAGAAACTTTGAGTGTTCACGGCAAGTTTTGAAGAAAGGTATCCGATTGCTGCGCAATTGATACCCGATGCTCCGACCATCCGACTCAAATCGAAAAAATGTATTAAAAAAAAATTTGTAAATTAGACGAATCAGTGGTACTCATAAAAAAACACAGTAAAATAAAGTTGAGCGTCATCAAAATTGAGTTCAGTGTCATTATAGTTTTTTGGAATTTTTACAAAAAGGCGAAACAATCTTTGAAAACTTTTGGAATCTAAATCACCGTTTAAAGACTTTTAACAAAATCCACAATAAAACTGCACAAAGTTTTTGAAATTGATGCCACCCGATTTCACATTTTTCCCCGTTCAAAAAATCAGACCACAAATTTTTAGAGGACATAAAGCAATTGTGACTTAAACGTTTTTTTTTTGCTTCGTTTTTGACAAAAAGTGAAACGAGCTTCGCAACATTTGCTATGTAGAACAATCACAGTCCCGTAAATTAGCAAAAATTGAGATAGAAGCCACTAAGACGAAGAAACTGATTTTTAAAAAGGCAAAAAAAAACTAAATCTAAAAAAATTACACTTTAGTTTCGGATGAACATGCCAAGGAACAATTTCACCCCCGTTAAATAAGCATTCAAAATCATTCTCTTAGTGGCGTCTAAGCAGACAGCAACACTAGTTTTACGCTTCATTCCTCCTGAAAAATTAAAAAACACAAAATAACATAACAATCTACTTTTGCGTTTTTAAGCACACAAAATGGGGTAATAAATCTAATTAGCATGAATTGAACCCAATAAAGCAAAAAAAAATTATTGAAGAAAACTTGATTCAGTAATAATACAAATTACAGAACGTCTTTCACGTGTAGTCAAAAATGCTTAGAAAAAAAATTCAATGAAGTAAAAGGCGATACTCCGTCAATTCAAGTTTTTGGAACAAAAACTCAGTTTTGTCACATCAAAGAAAATCAAGGTGAGGCCGGGACTCAAAACTATGGCTTTATGTTCCAAAGGTGCGTTCTTTAACTCTAGGTTAAGTGAGAAGAGCCTGAAAAGTGATGGAACTCCAAATAAAAATTTGTCATTTTCTTAGAGGTTTGGAAGAAAGCTGTGAGAAAATTCAGAGGTTCCATATATAAAGCTAGATTTTCATGTACACATAAACATATGTACACACTTGTCAAAAAATAAAAAATCGGGCCGGTATTTGAACCTCAGACTTGTCTTCTTTTTAAAAAAAAAATACTGGGAAAAAAGCCTTGTTCTCAATTACAGTCATCAGCTCTGGTATATGAAACTTGAAACATGAAAGCCCATTTTTATTTAATGATGGTTATATAGGATGAATATGGTTTGTTTCAGTAAAATAGTCAATTTTTCAATAAATTCTTGAAACAAAAAAAATTTTTAATCATTTTTAACAGCTTTTCAAAAGGCACCTAAAAATGTTCGGCAAACTTTTTCACAAGTTTTTAATGCATATTTCATCCTTTGAACAGAAAAATACTCCTCATAAAAAATCATATTGATTTTGATATTCTTCTCAATATTTTTCTCAGGCCAAGCTCTGAATGTTCCATCTGTCCTTGAAGGTCTATAGAGCAATAATAACATGAAAGAATTAAATGTAAAAAAGTAAAATTATTTTTTTTATTTTCAGATTTTTGTCAAAAAAAACATCCCCCACGCGCCATCTTAAGTACAAAGTAATTGATTTCGCTCCTGTTAGTAAATCAATTGTGGCAAATAAGCTTCCTTCAACCAATTTGGAACAGCTTCTAAGGCGGCTAAAATCTCCGCTTACGCTGTAATAGCGCCGAATATATTGCGCGTTAATTGTCCCAAACTGATCAAAGTGGCAAGCATAAACCCCCATATTTTTACAAAAATTGATAACAGTTGAAAATTCTTTCCAAGTTTCAGCTAAAGACAACAATACTTTTTCAATAATAAAAAAAGTTTTGCTGAAAATGATCAGTTAAATAAACGAAGTTTGAAGAAAAAAATCAACCCGAGCACAAATATTTCGTTACTTTCGTTACGAAATCGGAACAAAAAGCATCAAGGCGAAGTACTGAGTGTTGTGACTGCTTTTGAACATGTCTGAAGTGAAAAAAGACTGTTAGTATATCAGGACAACTCCGGAATGTTTCGACTGTCCCTCAATTCATATCGAATAATTTTTGGGAAAAGAAATTATTGAAAACCTATACATTTTAGTCAATACCAAAGTGTAAAATTTTGAGCCGTACAAAATTAAAACGCCCAATTAGCTCAATTAGCTAGCCTCAATTCATTTCGGAACGATTTTGTTAGGCGGGATAATTTGCCACGCATAAATAATTCGCGTTACGCTCTCAGCAACATGAATAAACTTTTCAAAGCGCGCATAATTTAATCCAGAACATGGCAAATTTGGTAATGTTCAAACGCCCAGAACTTAACAAAAAATAATCAGAGGTGAAATATATTTTTTTACATTTGAACTGAGGAACTCGATAACTTCAATTGGGTATAAAAAATTTTGTTGAAAATTTTTATATTAATCGATGAAACTTGACTGAATAAAAAACACACCGATAATAAATATTCCGTTTTCTTCGAAAGTCGGAACAAAAAAGCTGGTAAAGAAAACGTAAAGTTTTGAAATTGAAATGTCCTTTCTTCTTTCCTTAATTTTGTTTCATATCAAAAATAAAGTGCTTCTGCACAACGCAATGTTCTCGCAATGTTTGCATAAGTTAACTATAAGCAGTTCAATTTTTAGTGATTTTGAACCAAATACTCAAAATTTCATTGTGTAAGTTAAATTGAAAAACAAAACAGCTTAATAGTGTGATATTTTGATCTTTAAATGTATGCAGAAGTGTTTTATATTTGTATTCTCTACGCTTCTTTTCCTACTAAACCAAAACTCTATTTTTCATTTACTGAAAAAAAAATTTCAAGACAGTTAAGAAAAAATGAGTGATTTTTCGAATTTTCAAATTAACATATTTGAGGTCAATTGATTAAAATAGCAATAAATTTTTATTGAAAGGACTCGAAAAAGTTCATGAGTTCCCAACAATTCCTCAAAACGTCTTTTTATCGAATTTCGTCTCCCTAGGGAATGAGCCACTAAAAAATTTTACGCAGTTGTATCACTGAGAAGATGCTGTTTTATTTTTTTGGCATGTTTTTTCAAATAGCGGATGTTGGAAAATGTATCGATTGTTTTGGTTGCTAGATAAAACTATTCAGTAAAAACTCAAGTTTCCTCTCACACTCTTAAATAATCTAGAAAAAAATCTAACCATCAATATTTGGGTCAATCAATCATGCTACATTTTTTTTGTTCTAAATTGTTTTAATTGAATTTCATTTTGAAAAAGTGGCAATTGTATTCAGCGAACAAGTGTTGTGTATTGTACATATGAGCCTTGGGATTTATTATCTCAAAATGAAGAGCGTTTTTTAGAGTCAGTTTGACAGATAAGTTGTTTTTCACTTCAATTTTCCAAAATTTTGCTCTAAAGGTGACAAATCACTTTTTGTGATAAAAATTAGGCGATAATCCAAAAAGCAGAAAGAAAGTTCTGTGAAACTGTTAATTGATCTTATTGCTACAGCTGGAACTTTTATTGATGTTTTCTAAAACATAAGGTGACCATGAACATAGCAATTATGTAATTATTGGTTTATGGCCGGAGATTTTATTGTTTAAAAGTTACCAGATGAAAAAACCCTCTATTTGGATATTCAGAACATACAGATTTATATTTTACTCTTCTTGTAAATGCTCTAAATTTGACGTTTTTCATTAGAATCAGGAGTAGTTTTTGCATTTATTTTGCAAGAATCCTGACATAAATTTTTACACTTTGTTCGTGACAAAAATTTATGGTTTTTTACTTCAAGGTTACTTCAAAATCTGTAAAATTAATTACATTGTAGTCCGCGCTCTCTGTAACATTCTTGATCGCGTTGATATATTCCAAACCAACTCGACCATGAAAATAAGGACCTCAAACTTTTCCTGAAAATCTGAGCTCTGGACAAAATTAGCTATCGAGAAAAGACATGTAAATTGTTGTTTTAAAGGTCGTCATTCAGTTGAAGAGAAATATTTATAACATTTTGGTATGATTACCGCGATAGTACTAGGCCAGGCAACGATTTCATGATTTCAAAGAGCTTTTTGTAATACACGAAAGGCTTCAAACAAAATTTAAAGACAAGAGTTTACCAAATAGAATCGAGAATTTACACGGCGTATTGTGGGCGCTTTTTCTCAACTTGAACCGAAACTTTAAAGTATTATTTCTCCTTAAAACAGTACTGAAGGCTGGTTTTATATTTTAACCGTTTCTTGTTTAGCTCTTCACATGCGGTGAATAACTGTCGAGTTCATTTTGAAATCTAAACCCTAAATTCTGTACCACCTTCAATTAAACTTTTCTTAAGGGTCTTCTTCTGAATATCAACTCGTTCGAAATTTCAACTAAATTAGTTGGCCAACTTGACTTACTTTAAGGTGAATTTTTATCTCAGATCACTAATTAAATCATTGGAATTTAGATCAAACTATCTATTTCACGGAGAGTCAACCAAAAAAAATGCCTGAAGTTTCGGTGTTTCCATTTCTTCAGAAGCTTATGTTTGAGATTTAATTTAAAAACAACTGATACCTAGCGAACGAGTTTGTCTGACGCTGCGGTTAAACCGCTAGTTTTCCAAGATTCACTTTTGTTATCATTAACAAGTTGTTCCGTAGATTAAATAGTCACCTTGTAGTCTTCTATCTTACCAATTCAAGTTATCTTAATTTATCTCTATAGTTATTCCTGGGTAATCACTTGTTCTAATAACAATTCGATTGAGTACCGATCTTGGAAGCGTTGAAGATACTTTGTGGCAAGAGCAAGTGTATATTTTTTCAAATCTTGACCAAAGTACGAATCCGATCGGAAAAGTAATATAAAAAATATATCTTTTTATAATTTTACGACGATTGTTCCTGGTCAAAAAATTTAATTTTTTATTAAAACTAATCCACCAAAGTGATTGATGTCAAAGACAAATAAATCATTTTAAAAATCAAGTTTATGGAATTTTTGATGATTTTCTTGTAGAAAAAAAATAAAGCCACAGGCGCCTTTAGAAAAATTTCAGGATAGGTGGAAGTTTCTTTGGTGATAAAAATATCGAATCCTTGAATCGTTCGCTTGAAGATACCATTGTTTTTCCTCCATATTTTTCTTCTCAATAATTTGTTTATATGGGCATGATAATCCACGCTATTCTTTTTTGTCAAAACCAAACTTATTACTTGTCCTCCGATGTTTTCCAAAAATTGGTGAGAAAAATTGAAACAAGAATGCTCGTATCAGGGCGAAGCCCTGAATGCTCCGACTGCCTTTTAAGGTCTATGGAGCAGTAATAACATTATAAAAATTAAATGTAATAAAATAAATGAAAAAACTTTTTTCTAAAATTTGAGATTTTTTTGTGAAAATCACCCCCCACACGCCATATATAATACAAAAGGATAAATTTTGCTCCTTTTAACAAATCATTTATGACAAATAAGCTTCTTTCACCCAATTTGGAATTATTTCCAAGACAGATTAAATATCCGCTTACGCGTTAATAGCGCGAAATATATCGCGCGTTAATTGTCCCAAATTGGCCAAAATGACAATCTTTAAACCCCCATAACTTTATGGTGAAATATCTTTTCAATTTTAAGCTCAGGACAACAATACTTTTTGAAGGTTTTCTAAAAAATTCCGTCAAAAATGGCTAGTTAAAAAGTCAAAATTTGTCTGAAGAAAAAAAAAACCAGCCCGATCACGAATATTCCGTTACTTTTGCTACAAAATTCGGAAGAATAATAACAAGACTGCTCGTATCATTACGAAACCCTGAATTTTTCCACTGTTTTTTAAGGTTAATGTAGTAATAACATAAAAAATTTAGATGTAATAAAATAAAATGAAAAAAAATGTTGTCAAAAATTTGAAATTTTATTTGAAATTCATCCCCCCTCACGCCATATAAACTACAAAAGGACAGCTTTTGCTCCTTGTAACAAATCAATTTGGGCAAATAGGCTTCTTTCAACCAATTTGGAACTATGTCTAAGTGGGATTAACTCTCTGCTTACGCAATAATAGCGCGAATGATATCGCGCATTAATTGTCCCAAATTGGCCAAAATGGCAATCTTTAAACCCCTATAACTTTATAAAAAACGATCACAGTTAAAATTATTTTCAAATTAGAGCTCAGGACAACAATACTTTTTGAATGATATTTAAAAAATTCAGTCAAAAATGGCTAGTTAAAAAGTCAAAAATTGTCTGAGGAAAAAAAACCCACCCTGAGCACAAATATTCCGTTACTTTCGTATCGAAAGTCGGAACAACAAGTTCAACGAATTGCATACAAACTGAAACTTAAGCTAGTTTATACACTGGGGGACCAAATTAAGCGCAATTTCAGGTTTGGCCTCTCTGAAATGCCTGTTTTCAAGGATAATTTGGATAAATTTCACTGAAAAATTGAATCAAAATGAAATTAAGGGCAAATGAAATAATAAAAATATGATTTTAAATACTGATCAGTTTTTTTTGCGGGTCTGAAAATGCCAGTTTTGAACACCTGAACTAAGTTTTTCAAAACGCGTGAAATTTTAAGAAATTTCTAAGTTTAGTAAAGTTGTCACACTGAACATTACAATAATATCGCCTTGTTTCACCGCTTTTTCGAAAAAAGTTCAGACGATGAAATGCTTAGAGCAAAGGGTAAAAACTGGCCTTTTCAAACCCGGAAAAAATTAGCAAGTTTTTAAAGTCAAATTTTTATAATTTCATAGAGAACAGCTCTGATCATGCGCTCTTAGTCTATGCAAAAAGTTAGGTTCAATTAAAATTTGCCCCGGTAAAATTTGTCCAAAATCATTCTTGAAAACAGGCATTTTGGAGAGAAAAAAAACTGAATTTGCGCTTAATTTTGTCCACTAGTGCAGACAACTAATGCAAAACGGTTGTACGGTTATAGTGGTTGATTCGCGTCTATGTAAATGAGCTTTCAAGATAGACTTGCAATGCATTCGATTCAAACTTCGCCTAATTAAATCTTAATCTCATTTTAAATTAAATGAATTTCCGCCAATTTTTTGAAATAAATTTTAGAAAAAATTATATAAAAAATGTGTATTCACTTTTTTGCGCAAAAAAGTAAATCGTTTATTTTATGTGCATATGTCTCTGTTTCAGCCATAATGTCTGTTGAATGAGGAATGCAAACCACGCTTTTACATTGAAATTCATTGACAGACATTATTTAGAGTCGAACACGCGTTACCAAATCACGATGAAAGTTGGAAAAAATGGTTTTTAAACCGATGGTGGACACCAAAAATTAACGAACATATTGACGTAGACGGACCTCCATGATAGAACAACTTACTTAGCTCTATTTTTATTCTTCATTGTTCACTCTATTGTCTAACAGCTCAAATTTATGCGGTTAAAAAGCAAATGATGCGAAGACAACTTTTATCATATTGCAGAAAAAAACAACAACTTCAACTGAAACGTTCAAATATTTGAGATCTGACCATTACTACAAAAAATGATGTGCACAGTCTTTAAATATTCTTTATTACGTATACCATTCGATTATTGTACCGGTCTTTTTCAGCCATTGAAAATACACTATTTTTGAATCAGAAGACAAAAAGAAAAACCGTGATTTTCAAATTTCTTCCGTGATTTTTTTTTCATTGAGTTTGAATCAGTTGGTCTATATGCATATTCAATGAAATATCCAGACTAAAATTATTTTCCTTATTTACTTTCATGTCTGGGAATTTGAATTTCGTCTGAATCTTTTATGATGATTATTGCGTTAAAAATTTCATGGCTGCTTATAAAAAATCAAGACATATATAGTCAATGGATTTCCTTTGAAAATTGATTTCCAAATATTCACAAATAAAGTTTCAGAAAATTTATTTCGATAAAATTAATCGCTGCCATTTTTATCACAAAGCTACTATTATTATTATTGTTATCTATTTTAAATTTTCAAAAGTTGATTTGAAAATTAGCTCCAAATGGGTTTTCATTCTAATCCCGAAATCAACAGATTTTCTGGCAGTTATCAAAGATCAAAAGCTTGTCAAAAAAGCAAGGACCCACGTGTAATTCGGAGTTCAGAAAAATTTGATAAAGTTGAACTTAATCATGGCAGAACTTCCAGGCACGGAGGTCATTTGAGGTCATCAAATTGGAGTAGAAGGAGGAAAGGCGGTGGAAGTGGGCGTGCATGTGTCTCCTCGGTCTGTGATTGGTTGAAAGTGACTCACACGCTCCTAGTCTGGACATGCCTTTTAGTCTCCCCTTCTCTGGCTCAAACTGTCTACAAAATTGGTGAGTATGAAAACTTATGCGCGGTTTCAAAAAAATGAGGAAAACAGATCTAAAGCTTACTATCCAAAATTAGCATTCGGTGCAATTTTGTTTAACAAAAATGATAATTCAAAAGACCCTAAAAAGAAAACGCCCTAAAAAACTCGAAGCCATCTGATGTTTATTTGTGGTATCTGCTTTGATGTTTATTTGTGGTATCTGCTTTTCTGGTAAAGAGTTTCTCCAAAGTACTCACTGGCGCATCAGCCAGAAAGGATTCTAAAAATGGATCGGCACAATTATCAGTCTTATAATCGCCGTCAGACTTTTTGAGGCTCAAATCACAATTATCGTGTTTCGGTCTTGTAAGAAATTCAAAAAGCATCTCAATGTATTGTTCATTTTTCTGTTTTCAATTGATAACAATTTGGTTAATTTCCTTAAATAGTTGAATTAAGAAAGTTTACTGGTGAAACTTACACAGAAAACTGGTTCTATAGTCAAATCAACAAGGTTATTTGTTAACCTATAAAACGGAATCTGAATAGCAAAAACATACGCAGCAAATCAAACACTTATTCATGATAAAAACTGATATCGATCAATCAGTACTGAAGCTCCAATTCTAAAATAAATCTGATTAATCTCCGAAACAGCGCTGAATCTAGAAATTATTGCTAAGCTATCTCTGAAATCAGCGCTGATTTTTGCATTTTTTAGGAAAGAATGCTCCCAACCGGGATCAATCCCACAATCTATTGATTCCCAGTCACCTACAATGACTCTTAGCTATAGTCTCGCAGAATTACCTACGATTTATAGCTGCAAAGTGCATCAAATATTCATCGCGGCTTCAGGCACTGATAATTAGCCACTTATTTATGATCAGTACATTTAGAGCACTGATTGATGATATAATGCTGAATCAGGGATGGCTACTCCTACGACGTCAACCCGGGATTCCCTTATATTAAGCTGTAGTTTTCGGCTGTATTGACGTTTTTCATTGACAGCGCATACTTTTTAGTGATTTGAAAACCCGTGTCAAATTACCAGAAGGAGTAATTGCATTCAATTTTTTGATTTTTTTTTTCATTTGAATTGCAAGTGCCAGACAATTATTTTAACTCACAAATAAGAATTATTCTTTTTTTTTTCAAGTGACTTACACTAGGTCGAAATTAAACATTGTTTTCTGAATATGCCCCAATTTGTTTGAATATTCAATATCTTTGACAACCCGTTATTTTGATTTCAACCGTTTGGACTCTAGCAAGAACTTGATTTAAAATAGTACAGATAATTTTTTTACGCAATCAAATGAACATTTTTCTCAATTGAATTAACATATTTTTGGCCCAAGCTTGGCCCAAGCTGTAACTTGCCGGCCTTATCCGCTCTTAAATTGAACCAAAACATAACTTTCAAGCCGGTTTTTTGACACTTGTATACTTTTCCTATTTTTCTGCACGGCCATTTCTTCAATTCGCTATTCTGATTTCAGCTTCAGATAAAAGTTTTGTGCTGGTATATATTTTTGCCAGCAAACTAAGAAACATCTAAAAGTTCAAATTGTGTTGAGTATTTTCCATCATTTTAAGGTTCTTGTTCCGATTGCTTGAAGTTAGAAATAAATGTTTTTGGTGGAAATTTTTATACTGAGTTGGAGATTTTCGTTTTTGTTCCGAACATTGAAAATGGGGAGGAACTTTGTATTCGGTTGTGTTTTAGTTTTTTTTGTTTTCCACGCAAAATCAGCTACCACAAATAATCATCGGACAAAGTTGAGTGATATATCTTATTAAAACTTTTTATGTCGTGATTCGAACGACATTAAAAATTTTTAAACAAATTTTTACAGTGTCGAGAAAAAACGGTTTAAAATTTTTCATTTTTGGTCTAATTTCGAGCTAATTAGTAAGGAAATTAGTAATTGCGATAGCTTAATTAAGCTTAACTTAAGCCGTGAAAACTTAGTTTTACTCAAGTAAAGGTCGTTTTTGGAGTTTTTCAGCTCATTTTTGGGAATCAAAAACTTGAAAATTCAAAAATATTCCGCAAAATTTTTTTTTGTATTTTTTAGAATTTTTTCAATTTTTTTTAGTCATTTTTCTTCAAAAACTGTTTTCCAATTGACCTAGTTTACTATTACTCTAAAATATGCCTAAGTTCTATTTTTCGTTCAGATTTTTAAATCACAACATGCAAAGAAAACGGCACTAATTTGAGAAATTATTTTTGTATTTTTTTAAAGACTGTGATCGGAACACTCTGTGCTACTTGCACATCAACCGGCTATCCTTGTTTTAAATTACAATTTTTTTATTTACGATTTTCAATGCGTGTGTGAAACTTTTCATTGCATGAAATTGTTCCAAATTCTAACGCGCTGATCTATGACAAATGGAGCGAATTGAAAAAAATTAATTGTTTTCAATCATTTCATACAGAAATCAATTTATATCATTTGAAACTTCACATTGTTGGTGGGACAAAAAAAATTAAAAATCTTAGAAAATTGAAACAAGTCAAACGGTAGTCAGAAAATTTTGAACTATTTGAACTATTTTGAATTTTTTTTTCGGACATCATAATTATGACGTCTTTACATAATTTTGACGCTATAAATTTTCGTCCTACGATTATAAGAAGTTATACTTTTTGTACTTCTCTTACATATTTTATATTTTTTATCAGACTTTTTCCAAAAAAAATTGCGGCATTTATTCTTCGCAATATTGGCTCATTTTGAATTATGCATCCATTGAATTTAAGATCGCATCGCGTCGCTTGCGACAAAATGGAAAAGCAAACCTGTATTGATTGCGCTTCTACCGACATTTTACCCCTCCCCTTAATATCTTAATTTCCAAAACTGAAGTCTAATCAGTTTCACCTGCTAGCTTGCATTGGTGCGTCGAGAGGCTCCCATAGAGCTCATTCTCACCGCCAGTTCAACAATGCAACAATCAATACGAGCTTCAATAGCGCCATACAATAGGAGTAATCTTATCAATGGAGACAGAAGATAAAAAAGCTATTGAGTCCTTTTCGAAAGTCATCTTAAATTCATCGATTGCAAATAGCGATAGGTCCCTCCCTATAATCTTGCCTTCCTTATTTAGAGTACTCTCGATATGATTTTAATTTTTGGTATAAGAACCCTTTCTCTTCGTCAGAAGGTGTCGGCATATCATTGATATTAAATACATAATCCACACACCCGAATGAATGGTATATACTGTGAATTGTTTTATTTAGCAATGCTCTGGCCTGTCAGAAGCATGACGCAATTTTAAAAAAATCGCGACAAGAGTAACTTTTTTAAGGTTATTTTAGCAAAATATTGACGACGAAATATCACTTTTTGCAGTGTTTACATGAAAAGTTAATAAAAAATAAAGGTTAACTTTTTCGCGTTAATCTTTCAAAGTTGCTGAGTGAGGTGTTATGACTGTGGTTCTGTGTATGGTTCTATGTAATAACTAATGGTTCCATGCATAAAACAATGGTTATGTCTCCGTGTATGCTTGTATAAAATAATGGTTCTGTTTACAACAATGGTTCTGTGAGTATTTTTTATCCTAATATTTTTTTATAGGTTTTGCCGTATCATTCTATGTATAATGATTGGTTGTGTGTTGCAGGTGCTATAATTCCCAGTTCGCAGCCGGACCTGCGTCTGTTCCTGCAGTGGACCCTGGATGAGGTGAACAGAGCCAGCTCCTTCCCAGGCACCTCCTTCTCAATCCAGCCCATCATCAAACAGATTGACCCGGACAACGCTTTCCAGACATCGATACAAGGTAAGCTTATAAATAAAGTCACGTGGCGAATCTCTCGTTCGAAAAAGACCAATTGCTCGAAAATTGATTGCTCATGTTTGGTCATTCCATTTGGATTTTTTCAGTCCTGCTATTGTCGGTCGTACAATTGAACTCACTCATTTATTGTTCCAACTACTTTCAAACAAAATGACGGAGTAATCGTGATCGAGTTGGTTTTTCCCCAGACATACTTTGGCTTTTTTACTACCGGTTCTTAACGGAAGTTGAAAAAATCATTCGAAAAGTGTGGTCTCGAGCTCAAAACAAAACAAAATTATTTTACCTTTAATCTTTTTTTGTGAAGTTGTGGGGATTGAAAGATTGCCCATTTGCTCACTTTTACAATTAATGCGCGATATATTTCGTGCATTGACGTGTGAGTGAAGATTTAATCAGTCGTAAAATTTGTTTCAAATTGAATTGAGGCGAGCAATTTAGTCTATTTAATACTTAAATATAACCGAAATATGTCACTTTGTACGTGTTTAAATAGCCCGTTTTTTTTCTTTTGTTTTTAAATGTGTCATTCAATTTCTAAAAGCAAATACAAATCCATAGACATTAAAATGCCGTCGGAATATTCAGGACTTCACCCTGATACAAGCAGCCTTGTTTCCTAATTATTGATGATAATTAATTTAAATCAATATGCAAATATGACTGCTAAGTATCTCGTGCAACTTCCTGTAAATCATAAGTAAGGGTGATGGCGAACCAAGGCTATTTGTTCCGATCATTAAAAATGGGGAATAACTTATTATTCGGGTTCTTTTTTTGTTTTCCATGCAAAATCAGGAAATCAGGTATCCTAAATAATCATTCGAGTGAGTCAAGTGAAATATCTTTTAAAAACCTTTTCAATCGTGATTCAAACTACTTTTTTTTTTTTAATTTCTCAGTATTGAGAAAGTAGTTTGAAATTTTAATTTTGAGTCTGAATAAGAGCAATAAAAGCAATTGAGCAAGCTTATTTATGCTGAATTTAAGCCGTAAAAACTTAGTTTTACTCGAGAAAATTAGTTTTAGAGCTCTTAGCGCTGTTTTGAGCACAAAAAATTCAAAAACTCAAAAAATTTCTGCAAAACAATTTGAAAAAACTTTAAAACTGTTTGAAAACTTTTTTGCAATGATTTTTTTTTTAGTTTTTTTTCTTCAAAAACTATAGTACATTTTGCTTATTTCACTATGCGTATATGCGTAAGTTCTACTTTTTCGTTCACAACGTTCTATCACGCCACGCAAAAAAAACGACACTTATTTGAAAAGAAATATTCTTGGCTATATTCAACATCCCACAATAACCGGCTATCCTTGTTTTGACTGGTTTTGTATTCAAAATTTTGCAAAAAAAACTCATAGCCTAAAAATATTGCCAAAAAGATGACACTTCGGTTTCTTCTGATCGACCCCTCATTAATGGTTGCCATCCATTTGCAAATGGTTTTAAGTTGGATCCCAAGTCGTAAGCTGAATACTGATTGAACGTTGCCCTTGCCCAACAATTAATTTTTGGCAAACAAAAAATTGGCGTATCAACTTTAATTTTACTAGATTATTAAAAAAACATCAAAAATGGTTTTGTAAGTCTGAGTAAATTTGAACATATGAAATCCTGAGACTATCTGAGATTTGTGTTTTGCTTAAAATAAATTTTGTGGAATCAATGTTTTTTCGTTAATACGACCTCTTCAGGTCATTAAATAAAACCTGTTCAGAGGAGACAAACGAACGACCCTTATAGATATAAAGGGGCCTGCTAATTGAAAGAGTCAGTTTTGTGGGTCTTTGCTAAGTCTTAAGTAAGCAAATTTGGCCCAAACTAATCACATTTGTTTGCTCTACTTTGACAAGTTTTGACATTTGGACCAACCTAACTGAGAAAAAGCTATATTCTTTAATATCATTTCAACTCATAACTCGTATGTTTTGACCCTAAATTACTTGAAGCGATCTCTTTTATGAAAAACAAAGTTCGAGTTTTAAAAATGCCCAAGAAAAGTTAATTTGAGCGAGTATGAATGAGTGAAATGTAAGCCCGGTTATTAAGCCGATTAGAATACTAATTGAACCGCATTTGGTCCCGAAAGTTGCAAATAGATCCGGTCAATTTGACTCTTTGCGATAAAACCCACGGGGATTAATTAATGTCTTTTCACAACTTAAGAAATCAGATCAAAATCTATCTCGAGACAAAGCAGAAAAAAATGGTTAATAATGATGAAAACCTTTGAAATTGAGCCTTTTTCTTAGTATTTGTTTGAATTTGAAAAAATTGACCTAGGAAGAAAATGATCAATACAACTTGAATTATTTCATTGTATTGTTGTTAAAACAAAAAAAAAACCATTAGCTAAAATTATTGCTGAGATGTGTCTTTCAGGGGTAATGATAGATCTCAAAAATTTAAGTTGTTCAGTTCAAAAAGTCGACTTGATTTTCAGCCCCGTTCATAAAATTCCTGTTTTTGTCCGTTTTGATACAATCATGACAGTAACAGGAAACAATTTACCAGTAATCGTCTTCAAGCAACTGGCGATGCGATGTAGCTTGAAGGCTAAGTTTTCTATATGATTCATCGTTAATTTTAACTCAAACCAAAAGGGCATTGATATCATTTATGAATTAAGTCTAAAAATCATTCATAAGAAACAAAAAATTAAAATCGCATCAAATTATATAAATAATAGCCAGAAATTACTTGCGTTTTTTTTTCAGCTTGTTCACTGTTGGAGGAGGGCGTGGTGGCGATCTTAGCCCCGCCGGGGAAGAATGCGGGAGCTGCAATCCAGTCTTTCGGGGACATGTTCGAGGTGCCAATCATCCACTACTCGCCCCAGTTCCAGACGGACAACCCAGGCAGCTTCTACATCAACCTCTACCCCCACTACTCCACCATCAATCGCATCATGTATGACATTGTGGACTACTACAAGTGGGAGAGGTTCGCCATCCTGTACGAAACTGAAGACGGTCAGTGATCCAAAAAAGTTTAGCCTACCAATTACTATACCTTTTCCAGTAGTAAAAAAAAACTGTAACTGCAATGATTATTTTCTTAGCCAATTCCGATTTCGAAGAACCATTTTTGCAATAATTTTCAGTTTAGAATAGAGGAGGACTTAGGATTTTCTTGAGAGGCGGCGGACTTTCAAAAAATTGTTCGAAAATTTTGACGACGTTTTTTCAAATTGATTTTCCGAGCACTCTAAGAAAACTACAAAGACCTTATTTTGACCAATATTTTGCGCCGCAAGCAAATTTTTGAGAAAAAAAAACTGGTCAAAAAGCCGTTTTTGGGCTTTTTTTTGAAAAATTTTGACAAAAAATTGCGTTTTTCGGCGCGCGCTCCCCTTCAAAGTTTATATATTGGCGCCAAAGGCGCCTTAAGAAAAAATTTACGATTGGTCGGCCTAAAATTGATATCATAAAATAAAACCAAACGGGGGACCTTTTAGTTGGTGAAGGGGTCGAATGCCTGATTTTTTTTGGTAACAAGGATTTCTAAAATTCCAACTTGAGCTATTTTGATTAGTTATTTCGCGTAATCTACACTTGCGAATTTAGGCTTGTATTAGTACGGATTTTCTTTTTTTCCAACCTAAGTTGCAATTAAAAGTGCTACTATTGTTGGCTTTTTTGAATCGGTAGGCTGCGGTAGCAGTATAATATCATATGTGCTTTGACATTTGATTAGTAAAAAGTTAACTGAACCGGAAAAATTTATTTGTTTCAAAGAGCAGTTCAATCAATGATAGAAAGCTCGATTTCAGAAATTTTGCAACTTAGTCTAGCTCGCAATTTTTTTTTCAAACCCTTAATTGATTTATGTTTTATGTTTTCCAATTTATTACATGCAAATTTGTGACTTTTGTATTTGGCATCGAATTAACAAATTATTAGCATATGAAGCTGCGTTACTGATGGCTTGTTTTTGGGGAACTTAAGCATCCGTGGCTGAGAGGTTATTGCGTGAGACTCAACTTTACTGGGTCGCAGATTTGAATCTGACACAGAGCCGAAATTTTACTACTTTGAAATTGATTTCTACTTTTTCTTATTTCACGTAATAGAGCTGATTTTCGGTCGTATTCTTTCAAGTTTTTGCAAAGCGCAGCTTCGCCTCAGTGTTTAACTTCTGTTCCGATTACGTCACAAAGTGATGAGGAAGCATGCATGCCCTTTTTTAATTACCTCCAAGATAGCGCATAGGATACTAAGTGCGGCGTTTAGGATTTCACTCAGAGTTTTTTTGTGCTGTCAACTTTGTTTGTGTCGAGAAAAACTGGTCTGACTAATTTTTGGGCTGTTAGTCTGAGTTAAACAACTTGACCTCTAAACTTTAACCCACAACAATTTTAACGCTATTTTTGGCATTACAAACATTTCATCTTGCATTTTTTGACTTCATTCATTCGCCATTTTTAGAAAAAAGGGAATCTAGAGAAAAATTTTAAAAAAACGGCTGATTTTTGCAAAATTTGGGCTGTTTTGTGTCAATTTTTTCAAATGTTTTTTTTTCGTTGAAATTTTTTTTTTTTCATATATTTAGAATTCAATTTTTGATATATTTACTTATATCAAGGTAGTCGAAAGAGCACCTTCTTTCAGCAATTTGCTCTCCGTCTTCGAAAATCTCACCGTGAATTGATACAGCTCAAGTAGAATTTGAGACAGCGGAGGATATTTAAAAAAAAACATTCCAAGATTTCATTTGTAAAAGACATTTTGCTTTTAAAAAATATTTTAGGTCGTTGCCCTGATACCAGTAGTTGTATCACTTAGTAACTGATATTTTTTTTGAATTTTTCAGCCAAATACTGACAAATTAGTCATCAAATTGAACGCAAAACAAGAGCCTTTAATATTGTATTCCCATTACAAGAAAATGACCGCTCTTATCGGGACCAAGTGTTGAATGTTTCTACTGCCTTTAGGAAGTAGCTTAAAAAAGCTTGAATAAATTGTGTAGTTTTTCTTGAAAATTTTCTGCCGTTAAGTATAGACTGATATGTTCTGCGCCCTGTAATATATTATAAAAACTAAATAGTTTGTCTCATACGAATTTGAAATGATTTTTGAACCAGATTAACTCACCAATTAGGCGTTAAAAAATGAAGGAAATCGCGCGATAGTTATTTTTTTTTTTCAGTTAACCAGCCCTAGGCCTAACCGAAGTTTAAACATTCAAGGTTAACTACGCTATGGCTGTCTTACAAGAGCTCACCTTGTAAATTGCAGCGCACATGCGATTTGAACCCGCAATCATATGATTACTGGGCACCATCACTACCGATGCACGACATTATAACAAAGTGGCAATTTAAATTTTTCTTTTAATTTAAAAAATGCAAAACCGAAATAGTTTTTCCAATCTGACCTCACGGCATCATTTACTTCCCTCAATGTCTACCTGACTAAAATCGCTCAATGTCTACCTGTTAAAAAGACGATTTTTTTTCTAAAGCTTATTAAAACTTTTTTTCTAAAGCTATTGCTTCGGTTATTAGCAAAAAACATGAATATGTAAATAAAAAGGTTTGTTGTGGACATAAAACTTATAGCTAGAAGTTTAATGCTTGTAACTTCAACCGAAAACTTAGAGACACAGTGCCAGTTTGTTGCCAGTTGCCAGTTTGTTGAAATAACTTGGAAAACCAGTCTACGGTGTACATTCTTCCCACTATTCGAGGGTCAGAAGAAAAATATGAGTTACTTTCAAAAAAATTGGCAATACAGCCTGGATACAAAAAAGTTCGGATCACTTCTTGAAAACGGCAAAAAACTACTCTGAGTAATTTTTTTCAATCAAAATCACAATCCAATATGGGCTTTAAAATAACAACTAACGCGGCCCTATTTGACGTTGATATTGAAATAAAAAGGTATAAATCCGAACATAAATTGGGGGATGAACATTATAAAAAAGCAAGCACAGCTGGTTGTTTTGCAAACCACAATCATCTTGCTTGAAAAAATTTTAAAATATGCTCGTGGAAGTGTTTTGTATAACTTGTTTTTTTTTTCGAATCATGTAGCAACGAAACAATAGTCATGTACTTTATACCAATTTCATGACCAATAAAATCAGAGTTGTAAAGAAAGATGGAGTTTGTGGTGTTTCAGGTCTTCGCCAGATGGGAGATGTGATGCGACTGCAGGACACCTCGAACTCCTCGTTCACTGCGTGGAAGGTGCAGGTGGGGGAGGAGAAGGAGACGAAGGAGCGACTGGTGCAGACTCTGAAGCAGTTCAGGAATACGAGGAAGAGAGTGATTGTAGACTGCCACCCACTCACTCTCATCACACTGCTCAACACAGTAAGTAGCAGGGGGGTGAAATGGAATCGTGAGATTCAATCATTCTAACGCCAAATGAGAATTCAATGAATGATCTGCTGAAACATTTACTTTGGGCTCCCTTGGTGCCAAAGTTGTAAGCCATAAGTATATAATCAAAGGTTTTGTGTAGGGTCAGTTTCAAAGTTGAACTTAATGCTGCACCTCCTCCGCTAAATTTGCCTGGTAATGACGTTCACCTTGGCAAAAAAATACACAATTTGATGAGAAATTTTGACTAAAATAGCAACAAATCCACGTGTTTTTCATCGTAATTGGCTCTAATTCAAAGAAACAATGTAAGCAAGGATAGCCGGTTATTCTGCAAAAAAGCACAGAATGTTCCGACCATCGTCTTAAGAAACACAACAAATTTTTCTTTTCAAATTAGGGTAGTTTATTCGGTGTGGCGTGATAAAAAGATCTTGACAAAAAATTAGAGCTTAAGAATTTCCGACAGTTTTAGTAAAATACTTAAATTGAAAAAAAAAACAATTTTTGTACAAAAATGACTGAAAAAAATCAACAAAAAAACGTGCAATTTTTTTGAAATTTTGAAGTTTTTGATTCCAAAAAGCGCTATGATATTGAAAAAAAAACTAACTTTCCACGAGTAAATCTAAATTGCTACGGCTTAAATTCATCTAGTGTAAGCTTTTAGGTCATTGAAATAAGCTATTGCAAGCTTATTTATTAGCTCGAATTAAGACAAAAATCAGAAATTTCAAACCGGTTTTTCCCGACAGTGGGAAAACTTTTTGAAAATTTCCTAATGTTGTTCGAGTCACGACTAAAAGGGCTTTAATATGATATATCACCCAACCCAGTCTGATGGTTATTTGTGGTACCTGATTTTGTGTAGAAAACAAAAAGAAAGCAAGCAAAAAGAAGAAGGATAGCCGTTTACTGTGCAAGTTGCACAGAAGATTCCAACCATAGTGTTTAAAAAACTACAAGAAAAAGCTTTTTTTTTCAAATTAGTGAAGGAAGTGATTAAAAAGTCTAATGTAAAACTATATTTTGAGCATGTCATTCATAGTAACATAGACACAATTTCATTCATAGTAACATAGACACAATTTCAGAAAATGTCATTCATAGTAACATAGACACAATTTTTTTTGAGAAAACTGATAAGGAAAAAAATTCCGAAAACTTCGACTTTTATTTCAAATTTTTTTTGCAGAATATTTTCCAAAGTTCTGATGTTTTTGGTTCCAAAAATGGAGCTACAAAAGTAATTTTACTTGATCAAAACTAAGTTTTTAGGGATTAAATTTTGCATTCTAATTCGATGAAAAATCAAAAATTTCAAACACTTTTTTTTCGACATTTTTAAATGTGGTTCCAATCACGACTGAAAAACCTTTAATATGATTTATCACTCAATCCTGTCCGATGATTATTTGTGGTACCTGATTTTGAGTGGAAAAAGTAAAAAACTAAAACACAGCCGAATACAAAATTTCTCCCCATTTTCAGTGGTCGGAACAAAAACTTATTGCAATATTTAAGCTATTATCCGAAATCGGATGAAAAATGAAGCCAGTATTGAAAAAGAATTGAAAAAAAACATGTTATTCTGTTATGTTTCAGATGAAAGATCTACAGATGTTGACTGAGTATCATCACTACATCTTCACTTCATTTGTGAGTCACATTATCTTTCTTATTTTTTTCGTACATTTCAATTGGGGGGGGGGGCATGGCAACCATAGTTGAAACAGAAAAAAACAATGAGGCTAGTGATACTGCTATTAAACAACCCATGAAGACGGTTGAAGAAGTCTAAATGTTTCCAATTCTGATAGTTTTTTTAATCAAAATTGTCAAATATTACAACTTTTTCAAGATAATTTCCCAAGAAACCTCAAACAAAGCCATGCTTTTTCGGTCCGCACATTCAAATTGAGTTAAATTAGGGATTTAGAATGCGACGTCTTTAAGTTGAAAACTTTACCTAATTATTTAGGATTTTTTCTTAAAACAAATACTAAAAATATCGAAAGAACTTATTGTCAAAGACACCAATTTATACCTAAAGGGACTTGCGTGTAGCTTCTGTAGACCAAGGGTCCATGATCTGAGTCTAATTTTCGATCGAAATCTAAGAAATTGCCCGTTGATTATTTTCGTCAAAACTGATATTAAGCCTTCATTTCTCACTATGAGTGTGAAAATTTCATAACTTATCACAGTTGCTATTACTCGCATAAGGTACTACTTCCCAAACACGTGCTGTTTGTCACCTATACCGTCTGCGGTGACATTTTAGTGATTTTTGCTGGACAAAACTGATTCAAAATTGTGAATGTCCAGCTAAGTTTGCTGAGAGTCGTAAAGTCTCGCAACAATTTCAAGACAGTGGTCTAGAAATTGTGATTTTTGCTTTTGTGGATTTTGTTTAGATTTGATATAAATGGAATCGCATATGCAACTGTTGTGATTTGTGGTAATACGAATTTCAGTTTATACTTTACAGACCCATTTGGTGTAAATGTGTTTCAATGAACGCCATTTTTTGGCCAAAGCTTTCAAACAGTGCCCCAAAAAGTTATTTTTGGTTTGTTTTTTGTTAAATTCGCATGCTGTGCAAAATAGGTTTGCATAGTGCTTTGGGAGAGCTCGAAAAAAAATGAGTCGACCAAATAAAAGGCCAACAAAATGTTCGGAATTTGTTTCGAAAATCCCCCAGCTCTCAAGAAAATCCTCGCACCTCCCTCTAATTTAAGCAATGGAAACTCAAGTCAATTTGATTAAATGAAAAACAATTGAAAAAACATTTTTTCAACACTACTTAAAGTAATGATTCAAAGGCCTTTCATGTAACCTATCGAACCGATCTAAAATTGTTTATGGTACTTGATTTTGCATGAGAAAAAAAAACAAGTCAGTTACTAAAATTCCTATGCAACTTCAGTGTTCGGAACAATAGGCAACTAACGAGCCGTTAATTAGAGAACGAGCTCTAGTTTGACCTGCTATTCTTCTCCAAGGGACCGGCATGCGAGCGTCCGCCTTTCTACTGACTAACACTAAACCTTCTTTGACAGCATTGAACCTTCGAGAAAATTCATGTGAAGTTGCGTTTGATAAACCCATTACAACAGTTTCAAGTTTAAGTTGAAATTAAGCAATCTTTTGAAGAGAAATGAGCTTATAGGTTGACTCTAACTGTGACATCTGAAACGGAAAGCAGTCCCATAAATTAAAATCATACTTCAAAGATTTGATCTTCCACGTCAAATGATTTTCAATAACTACGTCAATAAGTTCATGTCATGGCCATTAGCATAGATTTAAGTTGAGCCAAACACGTTCGCGCCTTAGCAAGTTTCGATACAATTTCGAGATAGCTTATCCCAATTATTAACTAAATATCAGTACTTCTATGACTCCAAGGAATATCGCGTACATAGAGAGTTGGCAGAGTTTGTTGAAATGTACCAAAGGAGGGGAGGGTTGGCTTAGACTAAATCCCACGGCGGGTGATCATTCTATCCCTTAAACCCTCATATGTTTCCAATCTGAACCCCAGGGCTAAAGGCAAAGTCAATCTAGCCGGGTCCAGAGGACCGGCCTACGTAAGCCACCAACTTATTCCGCCAAATTAAAGTGATCCTCTAGACTCTGGCCAAAGTTAAGTGGACGGCAGAAGTAGTGGACTTTGTTTCCGGCACTGTTCCCGCTGTGTTAAAGGCAAAGTTGTTTAAACAGGGATGAAAACACAGTCGGAAATTAGCGCAGTAATTTTTATGGCGCTTTCCGCTAAGTTTACAGGGTATTAACTCAAGTGTACATAGTTGAAAACATTATGCCAGCGTGATTAGACTAGAATTTTGCCCGAGGGGTTTGCGCAATCCGATTCTTATATTTCTGAAAATAGTCTGCAAGAAAGGTTGCAGAGTTTTGCTGAGTTAAAATTAGGGCAGCTTTTCTTTCATGCTCTTGCGAACTGCCAACTACAAAGTTTTATGATTCAGATATTAAAAGTTTTGGGCTAATGTATGTCTCAGTGGAAAATAGCAGTTAAAATAAATACACTAAAAGTTGGTAAATTTAGGCTTTATTTGGGCAAAATGTTATGACAACTTCGCCCCGATTTCTTGTAAAGTGGACCAATTAGTGGTTCAATTTGTAAACTAAGGTTGCCCTAGAATGCCTCAGGTGTCTCCTAGTTTTGCTGTTGCCGTGAAGGAGTCTCAAATCTCCCGTCCCGTTAGAGTGAAGGGGAGCGGAAAGGGCGAGATTGAGCTGAAATAACTGGAAGAAGATTAGATTTAATTCGAGCAGAAATATGTTCCGGAAAAGTTACAGTTAGAATTAAAATTTATGTTTGGACGCCAGGTTGCTAAAAGCTTTCCAGATTAAACTTTAGAGTCAATTCAATTGCGTTTTGAAAATCATGAAAATGTGAAATTTACGGAAAAAAGGAAAAAAACTCAGAAACATGAAAAATTCTATTGATGAAATCTTCCAAGCCGTGCGAAAAGGATAAGCTTGAGATTCTAAGCAGCGCAAAAAAGGCAATTTACCTGCCAATGCTGACCATATGTTATAAGAATAACTTATCAGCTGGTTTTGTCTTTTGCATCTTTTCGACGAATCACTTTGGTATCTCCGTCAAAAATAACGCCATTTTTAAATACTTACCGTCATCTTCAAGCAAAAAGACTAATCATTGTAGGAGTAGACACAGTAGCTGAAATTCGACTGAAATAGAAAGCAAAAGCCATTGCTCATTACTCGACCAACAGTTTTTCATGTTTTACATGCCAAACGTGATCTCCAAGTTTTCTCTAAATAATGGAGAATTATGATTAATCCAAGAGGGAAAAAACCAGCATACGAGCAGTTCAAATCATGGAAAACTGCCGCTTTATACCCCTACTTAAAATTAGTGTTTAAATTAGTGAATACTTCGCTTCTATGTACTATGTTACTGGGATACTTGACGTGTGATTTCAGGAGTTGACGGAATACTACTTGACGAACTACACGCAGGGAGACATGAACATCACAGTGTTTAAGTTGATGGACTATGACTCATACAGGTACCTGGGCAAGGCCAACGCTTTCAAGAACGCCAGGGCCGACCAGCTGTCTCTACTACCCATCACATACATACGCAACTCCTCCATATCGGTGAGTAGTTAAATTATATTTTATAATAAACTACCAAAAACTCAATGGGCCCATCCCACACCTAGCATAAGTATCAACTTTATGGTGTAACGGGTGGTTTTGCAAAATTAAGTTATGATGACCAAATATAATTATGATAGCCCAATTAGTCTACATTTCAATTTTTGTAACAGTTGGTCTCCGTGAACAGAAGTTATACGAGCAAAAATTTAGAATCACGATTTTAAAATCAGAAGCAGAAAGAGCCAGCAAATGTAGAACTCAATTAATGGCACCGCAGCGGTCAAATTTTTTTCAAAATTTTGGAGCAGCTTCTTTTTTTTGCAAAAGAAACTGCGCCACTTTAAAGAAAATTTCCTGCCCACGCCACATATTTTTCGGGTAAATTTTTCCAGACAACTATAGTTTTAGGAGATGACCTGAAGGAAGCTCTATTTATTGCAATAATCTAAAAGGGATCAGCATTTTTTTAAACTGATTTGATTGCTGATCCTACGAATTTAAAAAACGTCTGAACGCTGGGCTGAAACAAATTTTCTCATTTGATTCACCGAAGGTCTTCATGCTCTTGTTGGGACGGCTGGGGAGATCAGAAGAGGTTTCCAGATCCTGGCCTACTGACCTCACGCATATGTGCAACTAGATGTACATACGCATGCAGACACCCATTAATTAAATTTATTTGTTTTGACTTTTTTGGAGCAATTGATTTTCCTTTCTATAAATTCCTGATTTGACTTCAGATTTCTGCTCTTGTGTTTCAGCTGCAGATGGCGTTGATGTCTGATGCGATCTCGGTGCTGCAGAAAGGACTGATTTCTTTGCAGAACGCGGCGGTTGTCACTCCTAGGAGCATGTCATGCAAGAACCCACAGATGGGCTGGGAGAACGGACTCTCACTCATGAACTACTTGCGTATGGTAGGTATACATAGCCTCATTGGGTCTATATAACAAGCCCCTCTCCAATATTGAAGAAAAAGGGGGGGGGGGTGGTATTTGTAACTTGACTCAATATTCTGGCATGCTCAACCGTTAATTTAGTCCCTCCTTATCGGGTTAATTTTTACGTAACATAGAGACCATTTGGATTGGATTGGCTTGGATTGGATTGTTATCAAGATCCATTTTTCTTTAATTTCGAAAGAAAGGTCAAAAATAAGTCAAAAATAGGTCTCAAAAACAAGTCAAAAGAACTGAAGAAATCGAAGTTCGGAAAAAAAGACTTCTTCAAAATTTTTGGGCAGTTGGGATTGTATTTATGGTTTTGTCCAAAAAACAATTTGCAACTAAACTAATGTAACTTCAACTAATTTATTATACGAGTCAGTTTAAAGATGAACCTTTTAAACCGAGCATCATTTCCTTAAATTGCTTAACTTCCTATGTATATGTTTGCGTCAAAGTTTTTGTTATTCAATTGTTCGTTTTCTAGAAATATTCGTTTAACTGGGAGCCTGAACAGGTAGTGTAAAAATCATCAGACAGCCTAAACTTTCAAAATTTCTTAGTTTGGGCAACCATATTAATAACATACGTTTTAATTAGGTTTGAATTTTACCCGAGAATGATAACATCGGTCTTATCTATTAACATGTTGAACAATTAGTATTAATTTTGTTAACGGTTAGCAGGACATAGTACCCACTGAACAGCAAATATTTTCAGAACAGTTGCTTTTAAACTTAATTTTCCAAACCAAATTTTCGCAAACTAAAACAGATGAAACGATGTTTTTTTAGAAAAAACCTTTGAAGACCAAACTGGTTTTTTCTATAATCAAAAATAGTTTTGGGTATTATGTCTTGGATACTTTGAAACTTAACTCCGTTTTTTTCGTATTTTGTTGTGCTAAACTGTTAATAAACTTAAAAATAAAATCGATCATTTATTATTTTTGATTGCGATTAATTAGTGCCTATTAACCAAAAATACTTTCAAATTACCGTCCTTAATAATGCAATTTTTCCCATGTTAAAGTGTTATCCTAACAGTTGTCCTAAAAATTGTTAATAATCTATTATGGTGACAGGGATAGGAAAAACTCTGGTATGTTGGCGAACTGATTCTGATTTACAATTTAAATGGATTGGGCTCGGCCAAAGACTGTCTTTCAAATTAATACCCTCATTTTCAACTGATGAATTTCAAATTTCGTCTGAGATTATTTTTGGAACACGAACCCAAATTACTAACTTTAAACAAAAAAGGGCTAAATTTAAGATTAATGGTCACTTTTAGGTAAAGTGTCATGACTCAAAGTCATTCTTTTATACTTTCATCTCCTTTTTCTGATGTAGTGATGAAAAACACTTCTGTAAACATGAGTAGTCTAAAAAATTTTCTTTCGACTGGACTCATGTTATGGTTAAGCAAAGTGAGATTATATGATCACATTGGCCTAATAACTGAAATAAATTTTTGTTAAGTTCACCTGATTTGATGTTAACTTAACTTTAGGTCTCAATTCAAGGATTATCTGGAAGTATAGCTTTTAATGGACTCGGCCAACGCACAACCGTACAAGCTACAATCATAGAAAGACGTAACAAAGAACCTTCAGTGGTAAGCTACAATTCAACTATTACGTAACTCCTTATGAAAAGATTGTCACGTAATAATTACTGGTGATTGCCTAATTTTTTAGGTGGGCAATTGGACCAATAGAGACCAAATAAACATCACTGAGTCAAGTCAACTCGTGAATGCCAAGAGTCTTCTTTCGAACAAGACGATACGAGTCACCACAATCATCGTCAGTATTTCAATTGTATATTGAAGATTCAATTTCGAAAAATTTGCAAACTTCGTACAAAATACGGGTTTTCAAATCAGAATTCAGGATATTTATTTAAAATATTTTTGTTCGGTTGAAAAAATAAATTGTGTAAAAACTAATGAGTGAGCAAAAATTGCCGGTTGCTGTAAAAGTACCACAGAAAAATCTGACCACAATTGTGTTGAAAACAGAAAAAATATATATTCCCGCATTTTTTCAATTTTTGGGCGTCTAGTCACCTAGGATTTTAAAAGGAGTTTTTTTTACCGTAGTTAGTTTTTTTGCACAATTAATAACAAAAGCGGGGAAAATATCATAAGAATTTGATTAAACTTTCAAATTTTTTTTTAGATCCGTGTTTTAAATTTTTTGAATGTTTTGGGTTGGAGAAGCTTATCAACTACGAGAAAAAAAATGTCTCAATCTCAATCGATACGGCTTAAAATATTGTTATATGATACAGGGGCGGATCTAGGATTTTCTCGAGGGGGGGCGGATTTTCAAAAAAATTTCGAAAATTTTGTCGACCCTTTTTTTTAGGTCGACCGAATTGATTTTTTGAGCTTTCCCTAAAACGGTTTAGTCCCTGTTTTGGCCAAATTTTCTGCGCCGCAGACAAAATTTGGAAAAAACAATCCAAAAAAAAGCGTTTTTAGGCACTTTTTGGAAATGTTTGACCAAAAAATCGCGTTTTTCGGCGCGCGCTCCCCCCTCAAAATAAGCATATATTGGCGCAGAAGGCGCCTTTGCAACATTTTAGGGTCAGTTGGCCGAAAACGGATTTCCTAAAAAGTACCAAAGGGGGGAACCTTTGGGTCGGCAGGGGGTCGAATCCCTGACGAGGGAGGCGCCCAACCCAAACCCCCTCCCTAAATCCGCCCCTGATATGATATAACACTCGACTATTTGTTGTAACTGAATTTGAGCAAAAAAAACTGTGATACACCCGAAAATCAAATTCCTTCCGCACCAATTTCCGCTCTCAGAACAATGAGAGTAGCTGGCTACTGCGCAAGTAACACCGAAAATTACAAATACAAAAACCTGTGCCAAAAACTAAACTTTTTCCTATTTTCCTGGACGAGTTGCCAACTTTCAAAAATTTAGAATCATTCGCTTTTATTGTTTTTTGGCGCAGCTGTTTGTGTCAACTATCCTTAAAATTGGCCTGTAAAGCACGACAACCAAATTGTTTTTTTTTCAGGCAGCAGACAAACTTGGAGAATTTCCTCGTGTTGTTCAACTGAAAACTGACCAATTTTTTAGCATGACGCTTCATTAGTTGTAGCTCGACGCGTTTTGCATTGTAACTGATTTTACGTGAGAAGAAACACGCCCGAATGATTTTTTTCAATAAATTGATGAAGAAACCAGAGTGGACGGTTGATATGCAGGTGGCACAAGCTTTTCCCATCGTTTGTGTTCCCGATCATTTTACGAAATGGCTAGGAACTACTGCGTAGCGTTGATCATTTTCGTCCGGTTTTGACTACCTGAACACGTTATCGAGAAAAAAAAATTTATTCTCTCAATTGTGATTTAATTCTACCAATGTTTTTAAATAACAGAACCTAAAAAAAAAGCAAAAACAAAAAGTAAGTTTTTTTTCTCATTTTTTCTGAAGAGCATTCCTGGTTTCTTAGATTTTTCGAATGAGGCTATTGTCGCCGAAACATTCTCTTTTTTTGCTCAGCAACATTTGCCAGCTCTCTTTGCTTTCTTTTTTGCATTTTTTTTTTTTGATTGCGTAGTTCAATTTCTTAGTCTAAATTTGATTTTATTTAGCGCTTCTTCTGCAACGAAAAATTTTCAATTTTTTATCTTGAAATCTTTCTTTTTGTTTTAATGTAACAATTTTAAATACAAACTCTTAGTTTTTTGAAGACAACGGTTGAAACTTTCTCAGCTACTGAACAAAAGACTAGACCTAAAAAGTTTCATTTTTTTTGCAGTTTGTTTTTGGAATCACTGATTCTCAAAATGAGAAGAAACACAACCGAATGATCTATTTTAATAAACTGTCGACGAAACCAGAGTGGATGGTTGATATGCAGGTGGCACACACTTTTCCCATCGTTTGTGTTCCCGATCATTTTACGAAATGGCTAGGAACTACTGCGTAGCGTGGATCATTTTCGTCTGGTATTGACTAGCTTAACAGGTTATCGGGAAAACTATTTTTTTTCTGTAAATTTTGATCTGATTCAACTAATTTTTTTAAGTATTAGAATCTAAAAAAAGCAAAATAGTTTTGAAAAAAAAAAAGAAGTTTCTTTTTCTCATTTTTTCTGAAGAGTTTTCCTTGTTTCTTAGATTTTTTTAAAGTATATAAAGTGGCCGCAAAATTCTCCTTGTTTTTGCTCAGCATCTTTTTCTAGCTCTCTTTGCTTTCTGTTTTGCTTTTTTTTTAAATTTTTGCTTGCGTAGTTGAACTTCTTAGTCAAATTTTGATTTTATTTAGTGCTTCTTCTTCAATAAAAAGTTTTCAATTTCTTGTTTTGATTCATTTTTTTTTGTTTTAAGATAAAAAGCTTAAAAACAAATACGTAGTTTTTTGAAGACTGGTTGAAATTTTCTCAGCTACTTGCAGAGCAACCGGCTGTTTTTGTTCCACTCGTGATTTTATTTCAAAAAAATTGAAAAACAAAAACAAAAAAACAGGGACAGGTGGTTACTGTGCAAGTAGCACAAAATGTTTTGACCAAAGTCTTACAAAAAAAACAAAACTTTTTTTTTTATTAGTGTTCTTTTTCATGCGTGGTGTGATCAAAAAAATTGAACAAAACAATAGAACTAGAAAGTTTCAGTTTTTTTGCAGTTTTTTTGGAATCCCTGATTCTCAAAATGAGAAGAAACACACCCGAATGATCTTTTTCAATTAACTGTCGAAGAAACCAGGTTGATATGCAGGTGGCGGAAACTTTTCCCATCTCTTGTGTTCCCGATCGATTTACAAGGACAGCCGGTTACTGCGCAAGTAGCACAAAATGTTTGACCATAGTTTTAAAAAATACATAACTTTCTTTTTCAAATTAGTGTTCTTTTTTTTCTGCGTGGTGTGATAGAAATATCTGAACAGTAAAGTAGAACAAGAAAGTTTCAAATTTTTTCGCAGTTTTTTTGGAATCTCTGATTCTCAAAATGGCGCTAAAAAACCCCAAAAACTAACTTTACTCGAGTACAACTAAACTTTCACGACTTAATTTCAGCATAAATAGGCTATTATAAGCCTGCATTCTCACCTTATTAGCTCGAACATTGACCAAAAATTAAAAATTTCCAGTCAGTTTTTCTTGACACAGAAAGTTTTTTCAAAGTTTTTTTTGTCGTTCGAATCACGACTAAAAGGGTTTTAATATAATATATCACTTTTTCTTCTCCCATGATTGTTTGTGACACCTGATTGTCCGTGGAAAACAAAAAGAAAAAAATAAAACACACCCGGATACAAAGTTCCTCCCCGAAAAAAAATTGTTTTTGATCCTAGTTTCAACGCTTGTGTAGCAAACACTGTGGTTGTAAACACGGGCGGATCTAGGATTTTCTCGAGGGGGCGGATTTTGAAAAAATTTTCAGAAAATTTCATCGACCTTTTTTTAGATCAACCAAATTGGTTTTCCGAGCTCTCCCAGCGCGCTAAAGAGATCCTGTTTTTTTTTGGCGTTTTAGGCACTTTTTTGGAAAGCTGTGACCGAAAAAATTGCGTTTTTTTGGCGCGCGCTCCCCCCTCAAAATTAGTATATATTAGTATATATATTAGTATGTATTTAGAAAACTTTTAGGGTTCGTCGCCAAAAATGGATATCTCAAGATAGAACAAAGGGACCTCAAAATTAAAGCATGCTGACAGCACAGGCGCCTCAAGAAAAATTTCAACGTTGATCCGTCTTCGGATAGCGAGAGGATTAAACACCTGAGGCGTTCTCCACCCCGACCCCTGCGCTGCGTTTCCCAAAATGTGCCCGTGATGGTTTATATGCGTTACGTTTTTTCACGAGTCTGGAAAAAAACTAAAAACCTTGTGCTGTTTTAGTCCGCGCCCTTCACGCAATTAAAAGAGACCGACGACCCCCTGAGTGGAAATGACAGATACGAGGGCTATTGCATGGACCTGTTAGAGTACATGGCCATCTACTTAGACAGACTGGGGGTGGACTTCCAGTACGAGATACACGAAGTAGCTGATGGGAGATATGGGAGTAATACTAAAGATGGATGGGATGGAATGGTCGGCGAACTTATGGAAAATGTGAGATAATATTTTAAACAAAAATTGTCCCGATTTTGAGCTCAAATGTTTTCTAAATGATGTCCTTTTTAAAAGTTGACTGGGCCTACTTGTGACTGGTTGTTTCTACGAAGGCGACATTATAATTTTTGAAATCAATTTTGAAAGTGGGAAATGGCTTTTTAAAGGATAATCGAACTTTTTCGATGCTTATGCTGTGAATTGATTTTTAGCGTGCCGATCTGGCCGTGGCTCCCTTGACCATCAACTATCTCAGACAGGATGCCATAGACTTCTCAACCCCCTTCATGAACTTAGGCATCTCCATCCTGTATCGCATGCAGGAGAGCAAGACTCCCTCCATTTTCTCTTTTCTGAAGCCACTCCATTATGACATTTGGATGTACCTAATTGTCAGTTACATAGGTACATACATTGGTTCAGTATATAAGCCAGACGACATATAAACCAGCTATCAGATAAGCCAAACAAAAATACGGAGGTGTTACATAATAATGATATGCAGCAACCATTTTATAGTTACAATACTCAAGATCGATTTAGAGAGGTGTTGGTGGTGGTGGTGGTGGTGTTTGGGGGGGGGGGGGGGGGGGGAAAGGGTTTAGAGGACGATTCGACTCTTTTGACTCCTATTTTTTTGAACTTACTACAATATATGGGCCATAGTATCTGAACTGCCTAACTGGTTTCTTCTGTCAACCTGTGCAGTTGGATACATTTGGGGCGTGGTCTGTTTCAGCCATCAGCATGGTACTGTTCATCATGGCCCGCTTCACTCCCTACGAGTGGTACAGACCGAATGAGGACTCGGACGAAGTGGAGAACCAGTTCACTCTAATCAACTCCCTATGGTTCGCAGCTGGGGCCATGATGCAACAGGGATCCGAGATCAGTCCACGCGCTCTGTCCACTCGCATAATATCCGGTAGGCACGTCATCATAACTCCCTTCTCACGCTGATATAGAATTTCGCAATAAAGAAAATTCAAATTACATATATTTTTTGTAAATGTCCCATTTTTGAAGCAAAAAAAAACATGGTTTATCTGCTCGAGCTCCGAAAATCTAAAAATTTGGTATCATTATACTGGGAAACACGGCAAAGTATCTAGATCAAGGCAAAAAAAAATTGAAAACTTATTGAAAAAGCCAATTTTGAACAACTTTGAAAAAATTAACATGCGTATACATGAACAACGATCAACATATCACTACTATCTATTCAGCCTAAGACAACCCATCACCCTCGCCCCAATAGCCTTCAATCCACGCCCTTGCCCCAAATAGTTTCTCGAAAAACTGCTGGTTTGGAAATGAATATGAAGAATAAATTACTTAGTAAAATTTAGTAAAAACGAATTTTGCTTAGCATCTGTAGAAACGTGTAGAAACGTTTTTTTATAGGATCTTTGAGTGAATAGTTTCAAATGCGACAAAATGTTATTTTCATGCTAACTACAAAAAAAATTTTGAACTGAAGTTGAAGAAAAGACTTTAGGTTGTTTGTTGAGATCAGACAGTTGTATGTAATGAAAATGATCATGATGTTCTGCTGAATTTGGTGGCAACAGTGGGAAGGGAACTATGGCGCAAAACGTATGAAGTTTTTTTTCGTATGATTTTGACTACCTCAAAGAAAATTCAGTCTCATAATTAAAACCACTTCAGCCATCTATATTAAAAATTCTATTACATTGTTATTAAACATTTTCTGTATGTCGAAACAAAAAGGTCTGAAAGTTTTTGCTTTTCAGACTGATTTTCAACGGGGACTTTTTTTGGATTTTTACTACAATCGCTGTTTGGGCTATACAGTTAGAGAACATAACATCTCAGTGCTTTGGCTTTTTTAAAATCTAATTTCAGTTTGAATCAGAGATGGAAAAAAATTCAAAAATAAATTTGAAATTTTTTGAAAACATTCTTCTTCTTAACTCATTATTCATTACAATTGTGTTTTCTAACTAAAAATCATTAATTTTGATAACGCTTGAAATTGATTTACCGCTGTTTGACTTTTGATTTTTTTTACAATTCAACTTCATATGCTAACAGAAGGCAATTTATGCGCTCTCAAATTAGGAAATAGACTCTAAAAACGTGAAAGACTTTTTTTCGGAAACAGCCCCTTTTCTCCCCACCTCACACGAGCATCACTTTTATTATGTAACGAGCAAACTTACAAGATTAACTATGTTTGCCAAATATGTTTGTAGGTTTTTATAGCAATCCGACCACGTGAACAAAAACTTAACTTGTAAAAATTGGCAGGTGGGGCAAAAACAAAAAAAACGTTAGCAAAAAACCGAAATAAATTTTTAAGATTTCACAGCGCAATAAAAAATTAACTATTGACCAGTTTTCTCATATTGAAATATTTTTATAAATATGAGCCAAAGATTTTTATTTTAAAAGGTTTTCACGATAAATTTTTCAAGTTATCATCATGAAATTCAAGTTATCTTCATAATAATAATTCAAACGCCACGCACCCAAAAAATTACCAGTTTTTAATCTCAACAATTAGTTTTGAAGTTGATTTAAGTCTTAATATCTATATATTAAAGCTTGGATTGAATTCCTCCTACCTGAAAACTTGAAGAAAAAAAATTACTAAATGCAAAAACTTTTGTGGTCGGAACCTGGAATGTAAATTGATTTAGTTAACCATCAGTTTGACTTTGAAGCTATTGGAAGCTTATATTTCCTAATCAACTTCCCACTGGGACTCCAAATGAGCTTTGATAGATATAAATCTAAGGTGCACAAAAAACGTCTGATATTTGATTTTTCTAATTGGCTGAAAATATATTTGATATCGAAGTGACTGACATTTGATATTTGATTTGTTAAAATTGGCTAATTTCAAGTTGGGTGATTTCTAAACTTTCAATTTTTTCCTTGAAATCACAGAAACCAAGCAAGTTTCTCTAACAATTTTCCTGGCAATTTTTAACCATTTTTGATTAAATTATTTTTAAAATGTCAATTACGATTTGTTATTTTTAACTGACAAATCATAGAGAAACCACATGGATACTACTCGGCCAAAATCTACTGCTTTGCAGAGTTATAAAAAACAAAAGTTGATTTAAACGAAATTCAAAGATTATATCATTCCCAATTTTTTTAAAATATATCTGACAATTTGTTACAACAAAGAAGAAATGTACAAATATATAGCTGGCTTATTTTTACACAATGGTTTCTGTGATATCTAAATCAATTCCCTCATTGATTGTAGCAAAAATCTACTCTTCAATTTAAAAAATTTTGAGGCCTACAATTTTAACACTAAACTTTTTTATAGCTCAATTGTTCTGAATTGATTAAAAAGGTTGAATTGCGAGATCTAGCTTAGAAAATTTGCAATATTTATTTTAGAAATTTTTTAAAAGTTCTTTACTACGTGCAAGTAAAAAAATGAACTACATTTTTAGAAGTCTTAGGTAATCTTGCGTTAATAAAGGCTTAGTGCAACAATCGAAAAGCTAAAACAAACGAATAATATCTACAAAATTAGTGGCAAAATTAGAACAAGACTGCTCGTATGAGGGCGAAGCCCTGAATGTTCCGACTGACTTTTGAGGTTCTGGAGCAGTAATAACAAAAAAAAATTAAATGTAATAAAATAAAATGAAACATTTTTTTCTAAAATTTGAAATTTTTAAATGAAAAACATCCCCCCACACGCCATATAAAACAAAGTGATAGATTTTGCTCCTAGTAATAAATCAATTATGACAAATAAGCTTCCTTCAACCAATTTGGAACAATTTCTAGGGCGGATTAAATCTCCGCTTACGCGTTAATAGCGCGAAATATATCGCGCGTTAATTGTCCCAAATTGGCCAAAATGGCAATCTTTAAGCCCCCCATAACTTTACAAAAAATGATTACAGCTAAAATATCTTTTCAATTTTAAGCTCAGAACAACAATAGCTTTCGAATGATATAAAAAAAATTGGTCAAAAATGGCTAGTTAAAAAGTCGAAATTTGTCTGAAGAAAAAAAAACCCAACCGGAGCACAAATATTCCGTTACTTTCGTATCGAAAGTCGGAACAAAAACAATCGTATTTTCGAAGTTTTTTCGCTCGTTTTTCTGACGTTTAATTGATATTCAAGTGTAACTTTTTATTGAAAATTTAAATAATCTAAATTTAAATAATAAGCAAATTTGTTGTTATTTCAAAACACTTTTATGATCAAAGCCATCTTTTTTGTTTCGATTTTTGATAGGTTTTAAAGCCTATTTTTCTTAAAGCTCACATTAGAAGATTATCATTTTGAGCAATTTTCGTCATTTCGATTTGAGCAAAAAGTTTCTGTTTTTTGCATTGGTTCTTAGAAATTACTACTAAATTTTTTCTAACAAACTTAATGTGAAGATTGAAACCATTTTTGAGTAAATTATTTTGAAGAATTGTTTTTGAACTTTTCATTTCAATCAACAGGAAGAAATTTTTTCCCACCCCTCCTTTTTATGTGTTCTACATCGATAATTTTGAAAACCAAATCTTGCCTGTGAGATTCCTTATTCGATAAGAGATATCATATATAAGAATAAACTTCGTTTAAATACGTTGTTTAGTACAAACCAAATTCTATATTTTTCAACGAGTAAAGATTTTGGGTCAGATGAACAAAGTGTCAATGAACGAAATGAAGACTGTAATTTAAGTCGTGTGTTTTTTTAAAAAGAAATCTAAATGACTGATCACGCTCATTTTTTTTTACTTTTTGCGGCTCGACTTTTGATTCTTATATAAGTTAAAGCAATTCTTATTTGAAAACAAGGTAAGCTACGCTTTTTGCTATCGGAAATAAAAATGTAGCAAAAAACTTGAATGACTTTCAGCTTTGAAAATGGATAATTTTTTCAAAGAAATCCCATCTGGAAAAAGACTACCAATTGTCCCAAATTTCTCTAATTGAGTTAGCCTTATGAAAAAAGTGATTATACTAAAAAAGAATTTAAGTTCAAAAGCTCAGACACACAGTATTTTTTAAAAGAACATGAAGGTTGAAAAATTATCAAAATAAAATTTTTTTTTCGGTCAGCTAGATTATTTTTTCAATCGATGTACTTTAAAATCGTTCGTTTGGAATTTTAAAATTTTAAAACCATTTCGGTGAAACAAAAAATGACCAAAACAAAAAAAAGCATTAAACTGGCTACTTCAAAGTAACTTCAATGGGTGTGGTACTAGGTCAACAACACGTCACTTAAGTTGTGAAAAAAACTTGAATTCTCAATTCATTTGAAGGAAGACTTTAATTCAAAATTTGGAGCAGCAGTATTTATTTCAACCAGCATGACTACGGTTAACGATTTTGTTCAAAAATCACTTGATGGGCCGCTCAAGCGGACAAAAGTTTTCAGCTCATCACTAGTGACTCTGAATATATGACTTATGAAAAAGGAAAAAACGTTACAAAAACTAGCTGCAAAAATGACAAAACTTTTCCCAACATCACAAAGTTGGAAGATATTTGAAATTTTAAAAGTTTGCCAATATAAATTATATTGACTCTATCGGGCTACACAACTAGTCTACTGAAGCTCCTCAATCGATTAGCGATTATCTACTCCAATATAAAGATTTTTTCTTACAGTTTTTAATCAAATTTATCTTGAGACCAAATTGCAGGTAAAGTATAACCCCTATGTAAGTCAGTTTGTTTCATTTTGAAAAAAAAGTTGCATTGAAATGGTCCAATTATAAAACCCTTTCGCCCTGATGATGTGAGTGAAATTGTACTATATGCATAATGCAGCGATGTGGTACATGACAACCATAATATTGGTCTCGTCCTACACAGCCAACTTAGCAGCCTTCCTCACAGTGACCAGAATGGACTCCCCAATCGCAAACGAAGAGGATCTAGTCCGACAGACCAAGATCAAATACGGAACCATATACAGGGGATCCACTTACATGTTTTTCAAGGTCACCCAAACTTCTACGCGTATTGTTACATGTTTTTCATGATCAACAACTCAGTTTCGCGTATGCGCCGCTTTTGTTTCCATTCAACGTCTCCTGATGAGTTCAACTCAGTCATACGTATGCGCTATTGTTACCATTCAAGGTCTCCCATAGATTTATCCACTATTGTTACCTGTTTCAATGTCGTCAACTTAGTTTTGCTCTATTGTTACTTTCATCTCAAGGTCACAAAGCAATGCGCAATGATGTTGATAAATAAAAAGAAAAGCGATTTTAATGTTGTTTGTGATGCGTAATCCTAAAGCAGAACGATCAGAAGGCACTTTATGATCCGGAATTATCACAGATTTTTATAAGTTGGGAAAAATTTAACTTGAATTAAAATGATTGACCACGGGCATGATTTGGACCGAAAATCCTAGACCGAAAGTCCTAAATCTGAATGATTTATTCTAAAATACGATACGTAATTTATTAATTAAGAAAAAACATCAAAAATTATTGTAATTTTAAATCTATATTCTGATCGTTCTGCTAATTATTGTGCTTAGCATTTTAAAAACTGTTGTCAAAATAGCGCCACGAAGATCAGCGACATGGAAAAGTAGCAATATTGTCGTGATCACTTAATGTTGATTGTTGTTCTGTGGCGGAATGGAGTTAATGGGGCATGAAAAAAGTAGGAAGACTGTCTCCAAATGTTGTTCAATGTTTGATATCATCCATGCATGGACACAACACCAAGTCAGGCAGAAATGTAAACTCCATAATGCATAACAATCGCGAAAAGAAACGAGCATTTGGTGAAAACATGTCTGCAGTCAAAAATGATTTGACTCAAGTTCGCTAAATGAGAACACTACTAATTAAGACTGCGATCTAGGAAATGATTTCGGGCCAAATATTTTTATGTGCTCAGCTGTCATATTTTTTCAAGTGAAAAGCCATGGAATTGCTTTTAAAAATGCAGTTTAGAAGATCAAGATCGTTTCCTAGAATTCTATGTAAACGCCACAGGTTCTATTGTGTCACAGATAGATATTTCTTTTACATGATGAGTCGATCTTATTTTTATAGCGTTATCACCAGGAGCGGATCTAGGATTTTTTCGAGCGGGATTTTCAAAAATTTAGTCGAATTTCTTAAGCTCGACCAAATTGAATTTTTGAGATCTCCCAAATAACTATAAAGATTTTGTTTCGACCAAATTTTTGCGCAGCAGCCGAATTTAAGAAAAAAACAGTCCAAAAAGGCGTTTTCAGGCACTTATGGAAAATTTTGACCAAAAAATGTTTCTCGGTACGGGCTCCCCTCCCACGGTTAATGCATATTGGTGCCAAAGGCGCCTTTAAGAGAGTGTTAGGGTCAGTACGCCAAAAAAAGAATGTTTTCAAAGAGTACCAAAAGGTCGAAGCCCTGAGGAATGGGGCGTCCGCCCGCTGAATTCCCCTGAATCCACCCCTGAGTATCATAAAAATGGTTTTCCTCCTGCTTGAATTTTTCATTTTTTTCTATTTTGAAAGACAAAACACGATAATATTCCTCGACATTGAAAGTAGTCTAAAAAAGAACACTAACAAGTTGCAACATTTGAAACCTTCAACATCGACTGCGCTTGATAAACGTACCCAGTTATACAATGACTTAACCACAACCACGACAACTTAACTTCTGCAGTCATAAACCATTAAAACAGGGCAGCCACAACAGTGGTTTACTTGCTTTGAGTTCCAGGTTTAAAAAAACTACAGAAAAATGCATCTAGATTTAATCTAAAACTTATTTTTCGCCGACACAGGGTTGATTGTGGCATATTCGTCATTTGCTAGATAAAAATTCATTTAAAAGGGCAGAGGAAATCATTGATTTTTAGTTTATAACCAAAAAAATGGTAACTAGAATAATTATCCTGTTTTAAATATTTAACGTTTTTTAATCATTTTTACCATATTATGCTTTCTATTGTGACAGTAGCGTGGTACGTATTCGTCATACTCTTCATCTCGAGTTACACGGCCAATTTAGCCGCCTTTCTCACCGTCAAGATCCACGAAACACCCATCGCTGACGTGGATGGTCTAAAGAGTCAAAACAAAGTCAAATACGGAATGGTCAGAGCGGGGTCAACAGAACAGTTTTTCAGAGTATTGTTGGCACTGTATAAAACATGGATTAAGCTCGTAACTTCATTTCACGAGGCGCACAATATCAAGTCATTAAATTACACTTCATTTATTTCAGAAGAAAATCAGTAATGAAAATGTTTAATTTGATTTGACTGAGGTACTATTGTCTTAACAGGCTATAAGACTTCTTAACTAAACTTCTAACTCCTAAACTTCCACAGTAATAAGATTTTATGAATTTTTGCCGTGACATTTTTTTGTTCCATAAAAAAGTTGTTGAAAAACTCCTCAATGCGCAATTAGTCTTATTGGCCTAAAAATTTTGTTTTAATCCAATTTTTTAAATGTGATTTCTCTCTAATAGTTTCTATCAATAAGTTTCTGACCAAATCGAAGTTCTTCTCAAAAAATTTGTTCCCAAGAAGTTCTTGTCCAAATTGTTCTCTAAACAGCCTTATGGCTTATGGTACAACTTTCCTGATCGACAACTCTCGTAATACATAATGTATCTTAAATATTATACTTTAGATAATTTTATGATTATTTTCATTCAAATGTCAGTTATTTTTCAGTGACCTTGATTATTGACTTTTTGATCGTGGTTGTAATTGATATCTAGGCACGTGGTGGTTTTTCGTGCTCATCTGCATCGCCTCCTACACTGCCAATTTGGCCGCCTTCCTCACAGTCACCAGAATGGAGGCCCCAATCAAAGACGCAGAGGGTCTGAGCCAGCAACACCGCATCAAATACGGCACAGTCATGGGCGGATCCACCCACGCATTCTTCAGGGTACCTTCCTCCTCCTCCTACTTATGACCAAGTCTTCCCAAAACGTTTAGAAAAAAGTAACCTCTCAGCAACCAAACGTTTGCAAAAGGTGAAACACAGACTCTGTTTCTGCATTGTTTTACAAAAAGGTCAAATGAAAACGGGAAAAGGGAATACAAGGTCAAATGAAAAGACAAAAAAGACACTTCTTGTGTCGTCTGGTGAAAAACTTTTTCTGTCGCCCAACCTCACTTCAGTGTGAAAACTTACATACCTGTGTGGAGGCTAAATTTGATGAATGACTAACAATATTGTGAGTGAAAATCAACTAAAACTTAAGTGATTCGAAACTGAGAGTTCTCAACAACGGTGGAGAACTTCGCGAGGTTTAATTGGATTCACACAAAAAATTGGTCGACCGCAAGTTTTGCCTGGGGAGAGATTTCGGAAAATGATGATATGGCTTGCTTCTATTATCCATGATTGGTTTGGGGTTCTTTCTTTCAAACACTTCATCCATGTTTGAGTTGCTTTCGGCAGTTTGTGGCTTTCTCCAACTTTCGTTTCTTTTCACCACGAGAGTTTTCGTTTGTTTCTGACATCTATGGGTTCTATGGGTTAACAGATTGTTCCGCTTACTTCTAAGTCTTACCATTTTATATATTAGTTGTACATTTTCATATAGGTTGTTTTACTTTCATCAACTCAACAATATTTCAACATTTTTCTGACTGACTGATTTTTAAACCTGCTTCTATGATGACTGATTTTCGATTTCTCTGAGTTATGAATCTTAGCTCATAAGTTTCACTCAAAAGCTTGTTTTTGTTCTGGAACCATTAACTATTTATATTCTTGGCTAATCTGCACGACAATTGTATGCTATTTGTTACCCTTGTTGTTTTAGCATGTTAAATCAAAACTATATAAAAATAATGCTCGTATCAGGGCGAAGCTCTTATTGCTACCGCAGCCTTTACGCAACAATGAGAAAGTTTTGTTTCAAAAAATTGTCAAAAACATGCAAAACTTTTTTGAACTTTTAATTATCAATTATTAAAACTTTCAACTTTTTGTCAAGTTTTTTTCATGTTTTAGTTCTTAACTGTACCCTCCCACACTCTATACAAAATCCTTAGTACTATATTTTGCGTCTGGCAAGGTTTTAAAAAAGCAAATTCCTTGACTGAATTCAACTTGGAATAATTTTCTTTGCTGCTTGTTCGCCGATTAACGCGCGTTAATTGTTATAAATTGAATCATATTATTCTCGTATAACTTTTAAAGAAAAAATCACAGGTGAAAACTCATTTTAATTTTGAGCCTTGGATTTCAGTATTTTCCAGATGGTATAAAAACTCTGCCTAAAAGGCCAGTTAAAAAGGAAATTAACCTTGAGAAAAATAACCACTTGGGCACGCAATTTCCGTAAGTCGGAACAAAATACAGTCATGATTCAACGCAGGGGCGGATCTAGGGTTTTCTTGAGAGGGGGGGGGGGGGGCGGCAGATTTTCACTAACAAGACCTTGTTTTGGTAATTTCTGCGCCGCAGGGAAAATTTTGAAAAACAGGTCAAAAAAAGGCGTTCCCTCCCCCTAAATAATCCCCTGATTCAAAGAAAGTGACGGAATATCTAAGGTCGGGGTGTTGTTTTTCTTCTGACAACTTTCGACTTTTTAACTAGAAAGTTTTGATGAGCTTTTTAATATTATCTGAAAGTTATTGAGGTCCTGACCTCGAATTTTTAAGTTTTTTTTAACCTGTGATCATTGTTCTTAAAGTAAAGAGGGTTTGCAACTGGCAATTTGGAATAATTCACGCGAGTATTAACACGCGAGAGCGGGTACTGAATCCAGCTCCGCAATAGTTCCCAATTGAGTAGACACATGCTAGTTGTTCTTATTTATAAGTTTCTGAATGCTAAAAAGTATCACTTTGTACTTTAAATTGTGAGGGATGATTAAAAAAATCTCATTTTTTTTTTTAAAAACTCATCAATTTTCTTGAAAACCAAACACTACTCAATGGTAGTATCGCCCTGCTACGAGCAGTCTTGTTTTATGTTTGCGCTTGATTAGCTATGATTTAACATCCTTTTATATTTCATAAAATTGCTGTTCATCAAACTTTCGGTCGATATCTACAAAATGTAGTGATACTATAGGGATCTTGTTAACAATCCCATCCCTTTTACAAAAGGGGAAACTCGCTACAAGTTCAAATTTCTGAGGTAATTATCCAATGGATAAGTTTATTACACTGGCGGATATTCGTTACCGGGTATCATAGTTGGGGTTCGGGGAGGAATTGTTAACAAGAAGTTAAGTATAGTTTGGAATGCACAATTATTTTTTTTCTACAAACCAGTGTGGTAAGCATGCACAATAATTTGGTTTAATCACTCAAATTTTTTTTGCTGCAAACATTGGAGAGTTCAGACATATTGTTCATTATTGAATGAATAAAAACACAATCAAAAAAATTTCTCTTTTTGCGTAAAATTACGCATCTTCATTTTTGAACACTTGATGGGTTATAATTTCAAACTAAGAGATAAAGCAAAACAAGGGTGTCTTGAACTTTCGAATGTTTTTTTCCGTCATTTTTATTTTGTTGATATTTTCCATTTATCGGCTAATTTGAGGTTCGGTTTTGCAGGACAGTGACATCGCCACGTACAGTCGCATGTGGCAGTTCATGTCCAACGCGGAGCCCACTGTCTTCGTGGACACCTCAGCCCAGGGTATCCAGAGAGTGATGCAGGAGGACTACGCCTTCCTCATGGAGAGTGTCATGATCGAGTACGAAGTGAGTCAGAAGTGCAATCTCACCCAGATTGGTGGCACTTTGGACTCCAAGTTCTACGGCATTGGACTGCAGAAAAGTGAGCATGCAATAAGTCAAAATAAAACAGCCATGATGCAGAAATATGATAATCGCAGTGTACAAATATGGTTGTGCTAGTTTTGTTAATTTAAAGGCGATGAGTTTTTGAAATATCAAAATTGGCGGTGAAATGAGAGGGTTTTTTTATTTATATGTTTTGATAATTCAACGAGACATTTGTTAAGACTTTTACCAAGGAAAGCTGTTGTGGCCATGGTTAAGAACATTATACAGTTTTGTTTCGGCTAAGCGTTTTTGAAACAACTAGAAGTGCATCATGGCAGGCCTTGAACTACGAACTTCTGGATTGAGAGCGTTCGCAGAATCCATTTATTGTCTGTGTTTGTTTCAGACTCTCCCTACACGCCCCTGATCAGCAAGGCCATTCTCCAGATGCAGGACGAGGGGGTGCTGGTGAAGCTGAAGAAGAGGTGGTGGGAGGACGAGTCCAAGTGCGTTAAGAGAGAGTCCGGATCAGGTCAGAATGCCTTGAAAAAATCAGATGCCAAAAACAGAGAAGCATTAGCATGTTGTTCTTCTAGGATGGGTTTTCTCATACCAACTTTGGTTTTTTTCGTTAAAAAGATTAATGGTCACTTCGTTCAATTATGGACTAGAGGACCCAGATCTATGCAGCTTCGATTTCCATCAAACTTGCCTACACCATCCGTACTTTGATCTTCATGATTACCCCGTACCATAAAGATGATGGAAATATCAAGTGCTCTTTGGTGTAACTATTGCGTCGATATTAAGTTCAAACTCATTAAGCTAAGTGAATGCATAGATTCAAAATTTTGAAAATTTTGTCGACCTTTCTTTTCTAGGTCGACCAAATTGATTTTTTGAGCTCTCCCAAAGCACTATAAAGACCTTAATTTGAGCCAATTTTCTGCACCGCTGGCAAAATTTTGAAAAGACAGGCCAAAAAAGGCGTTTTTAGGCACTTTTTGGTAAAATTTTACCAAAAAATTGCGTTTTTTCGACGCGAGCTCCCCCCTCAAAATTAGTATATATTGGCGCCAAAGGCGCCTTTAGAAAAATTTTAATGTCAGTCAGCTAAAAATGGATATCTCAAAATAGTACAAAGGGGGACTCTTTGGGTCGGCAGGGGGTCGAATCCCTGAAGAAAGGGAGTGTCCGCCCCCCGCCCACCCCTCCTAAATCCACTACTGCATAGATGTACAAAAAAGAATTGGTGGTTGTTGATCCATTTTTCTTCCATTTTTCAAGTTGCTCGTAGATTTGAAAACTTGGAGTTATCTGGATTTGTCTGTTTTCAGGTGCCGACGATGCTAGCAGTTTGAAGCTGGACAGTATAGGGGGCATCTTCTACGTCCTCATCTTCGGCACTGTCCTCGGCTGCATCATCGCAGTCCTCGAGTTCATCTGGAAGAGCAAAAAGAACGCCTCCCGCGAGGAGGTATTACTATTTTTTTGTGTGTTTTCTGATAGTTTTTATATGATTATTGTAATATTACAAAAAAAAACATAAAAAGCTCCCAAAAAATTTCCAAATATTTTAAAAATTGGTCAAAAAAATGTCATTAAATAACTGAGATGCTATATATTTGCCACTAATTGGAACACTTGCAAGCATTTCAACTGGTTACCTGGATATACATATTCAGCATCTAACTTAGTGCCCGAAAATTCTTCTCAGCGAAAAAACCCCGTTCAAAAAGCTATAAAACCTTCGCATGGATTGTCTAATTTTTTTCATACTTTTCTTCAATTTTAGATCTCATTGGGAAAACAAATGTTGAATGAGCTGGCCTTCGCTTTCCGGTGTCGCGATTCCAGCTCCACAGTGTCCGCGCCACGTGATCAAATCAACTTCAAATCCCTACCTAACAACGAAAACTACGAAGCCACAACTGCAGGAATTCCCCGCATGCTATACAACACCAGCTACATCCCAGTTGCCGCTCAAAATCTCCAATCCCCGACGTCCCCAGCTGGCGCCCCCGTGAACTCTTTTTCTAACCAAAATAACATATCTACTTTTCCCAGACAAAATAACAACATCTCCCACCACCCGGGGGGTGTTGTAAATTCTCCAAATCTAGCTAACAATACAATGGCTCCGGATCAGATTGACTATTACCAGGCGCAACTGATGCCGCCGATGAGTCAACCACCGAATACTAACTACGCGACCTACAGGCCCTACGCATACCAGAACCAGCAGGCGAATTCATCAGGACCGCAAACGAGTCAACAACAACAACCTGCTTTGAAGTTCGTCGAAACGCCCTCGATACTTAAGAACCCAACGTCTAACTCTTACCTCCGCGTTGACACCAAAGTTTAGCCGTGTGACCATTTTTAGAATTTGATGATGTAACTTGGAGATACTTTGGTTATTTTTAACTGATTTTGTTTTTACTTAGTTGACAGACGTTGTTTAGTTTTGAATCCTAGTTGAATGTCGCGAATGCCGCCAATATGTTGCAATAAAGTACCAAAATTATAACGTTAATCATTTGCACACTTTTTGAATTATGCTACTTTATTCAAAAATGTTTCGTAATTTATTTATTATATGTTCGTTCTCACATCGTCAGCAGATAAGTAAGTCGACTGCAGCTTACGTACGACTGACGCAAAAAAAAAGTGAACAAAAAAGAATTTCAGTTCTTTTTAATATAATTTCTTCAAGCCTTCAACTCGGATCAACTAGCTCCAACTCATCGTCAACCATAAAATTTTCACCAACGCAACATTTAAGCAAATATTAGCAAACTAACTCGGTTAATTCGCGCAGAGTTTTAAAAAACGATGAGGTTAGTGCAGAAACTTATATAAATAGTGCTGAATTTTTTCATGCAAAATCTTAAAATTTGTTTACGCTCCAATTTGATTTTTCGCAGTTTGACCTCTGATTTCTTGTTAAATTCAGGTTCTTTCCTTTGTTGAAAAGAAAGCAAACTCAACTACGTAACAGCAAAAGATTTACCAACGGAATGAAAACTTAGTATAATAATGTTTTGAAAAGCGGAATAAAAACTTAACCTGATAAAAAATTTAGAATGAATTGAAGTAGTTTTCTAAAAAAAAAACAATCTTAAATTCTTCTAGAAATTCAGAGCTGTAAGGCCATATAATTTTCAAAATAAAATTCAAAAACTCAAGTTTTAGCAAAAAACAAGGCAGTTTTTTTCTTTCTTTGCATTCATTGATTCTTTTCCAATTGTCTTTTGGCCAATCTGGTCAAACGCATACTGGCTAAGTGTTGACGCCTCAAATTCTCAATCGTAAGGTCAATTTTTTGAGCCTCAGGATGATACATGCTCGTTGTTTCAGGGATATACAACATTACTTAGCCCAAAAAACGCATGTAGTTTTTACCCGGGAGCACAACAGCAGTTCTCTCCAAAGAGTATTTTCTCTACAAATCACCTTCACCGACTACTGAAAAAAAAAACGAGAAAAAAGTTAAAATATAATTAGCTGAATATAGTTGAATAAAACTTCCCACCAAATATGCCAACAATGAGATTGCTTTACTGCAACTTAAACCGTGGCTAAAAAAAAATTAAACAAAAATTTAGATGAAAACGAAAGTTAATTTGTCACATTAAGTTGAAAATGCCATTATAAGATCTTTGGATAAAAATTAGTGCTGAGTCTCTTTGATGTTATGCTGTGAAATCATTCTAATAATGATATACTTAATGCAAAACCAACCAACTGGTGTCGATGTTGTTGGTATGTTTTTGTATCAAAATATCTTATCAAATATCAACAAACAGTTTCATTAATACGATAGTATAATGTCAAATTCAAGAGAATTCAGCTGTATCCCCTCCGATTCTCAAAGTTCAAAGTCATGACATTTATTCTAAATGTCACACCAACTCTCTCGAAAAAAAAATTGCTGCCTAATTTTTGATTCTCCGATTTCCAACAGAATTGCTCAACACGTTGATGTCTACTTTGAGGGTTTCAAACGCTCAGATCTTCCACTTGCAATGTTCCTCTGGCAACAGCACACGCGGACCAAAATCATTTTTCTAGGACTATTTTGATGTTCTCAACAGTGTAGAATTTTATTTACTTGGATTTAATGGGCATATCTGACTAAATTCTAAAAAAACTTTCAAAATCAATTCAGGATAAGTTTTTCCCCCTCAGATCTCTATTAAAATCACGCAAGAAGTTAATTCACAATTCCAGGTATGTTTGACTGCTTGGTGTTCCAGTTACTAATTCCTTGAGCAACTTCTGATTAAGTCCAATTTTTTTCTCTGGTCTTTTTAGGGCATGTCAAACTCTTTTCCACGAGTGATCTTGTCATTGATTGAAAACAGAAGCTCTTTTACGAAATGAAGACGTTGAATGAAATCGTGACAACCCCAGCTTTGACTGCCTTCGTTTGGTATATGCGTAGCTTAGACTACGTTTAAATAAAATGACACTAAATGATCTGGTCGTGCTGGCCCCGGTTAACGTTATGATGTCAAATCTTTTTCTAAAACAAATCTTTTTCTAAAACTAAAATAATTTATTGCAAAACCAACCAACTGGTGTCGATGTGGTTGGTATGATTTTGTGTCGAAGTATTTCTTAAAAAACTTCAATAAGCAAACTGATTAAGACTATAGTTTAAGTTCAAACTCAAGAGACTTCAGGTGCATTCAAGCTCTCGAGACGTCGATGTCTACTTTGAAGGTTTCAAACGCTCAGATCTTCCAATTGCCATGTTCTTCTTGCAGCAACTGACATGAACCAATATGATTATTTTGACGTCCCCGACACTGGAGAGTTCGATTTACTCACGAAGCTCTAAGTGATTGGGCATAGTTGACAAAATTCAAAAACACGTTCGAATTCGAGTCAGGATAAAAAAAATTTTCCACTCAGATTCGGTGTTCCAGTTGCTAATCGCTTGAGCAACTTCTGTGTAAGTTCAATTTTTTTCTCTTAGTTTTTCCAGGGCATGTCAAATTTTTTGCCACGAGTGATTTTCTCATCGATTGAAAATAGAACCTCTTCCAGTAATTGAAAATATTGAATGAAATCGTGACATCCCAGCTCTGACTGTTGCCATGTGGTTTGGCCTTAGTTTAGACTACCTTTACATACAAAATGTCATTATAAGATCTTTGGATGCATATTACTGCTGAGTCTCGTTGTTGTTATGCTGCGAAATCATTCTAATCATGATATATTTAATTACAAAACCAACCAACTGGTGTCTATGTTAATGGTATGTTTTTGTATCAAAATATTTTTTCAAAAATCATCAAACAGTTGGATTAAAACGATAGTATAATGTCAAACTCAATAGAATTCAGCTGTATCCCCTCCGATTCAATGTCATGACATTTATTCTAAATGTAACACTAACTCTCTCGAAAAAAAACATGGCCGCCTAAATTTTGGTTCTCCGATTTCCAACAGAATTGCTCAACACGTTGATGTCTACTTTGAGTATATCAAACGCTCAGATCTTCCACTTGCAATGTTCCTCTGGCAACAGTAGACGCGGACCAAAATCGTTTTTCTATGACTATTTTGATGTTCTCAACAGTGTAGAATTTTTTTATTGAATTTGATCAGCATATCTGACTAAATTCTTAAACACTTTCAAAATCAAGTCAGGATAAGTTTTTCCCCCTCAGATCTCTATTAAAATCACGCGAAAAGTTAATTCACAATTCGACGGATGTTTGACTGCTTGGTGTTCCAGTTACTAATCCCTTCAACAACTTCTGATTAAGTCCAATTTTTTTCTCTGGTCTTTTCAGGGCATGTCAGACTCTTTTCCACCAGTGAACTTGTCAATGATTGAAAATAGAAGCTCTTTTACCAAATTGAGATGTATAATGAAATCGTGACAATCCCAGCTTTGACTGTCATCATTTGGTATAGCCGTAGCTTAGACTACATTTAAATAAAATGTGACTAAAAGATCTGCTCGTGCTGGGTCTAGATGATGTTATGATATCAAATCTTTCTAAAACTTAAATATTTATTGCAAAACCAACCAACTGGTGTCGATGCTGATGGTATGATTTTGTGTCGAACTTTTTTTAAACGAATATCAATAAACAAAATGATTAAAACTATAGTTTGAGGTCAAACTCAAAAAACGTGCACTCAAGCTCTCGAGACGTCGATGTCTACTTTGAGGGTTTCAAACGCTCAAATCTTTCAATTAACACGTTCTTCTTGCAATAACTGACATGGACCAATTTCATTGATCTATGATTATTTTGATGTCCCCAATACCGGAGTGTTCGATTTACCCACGAATCTCCAAGTGATTGGGCATATATGACAAAATTCAAAAAGACGTTCAAATTCGAGTCAGGATAAAAAAAAATTTTTTCACTCCGATTCGGTGTTCCAGTTGGTAATCGCTTGAGCAACTTCTGAGTAAATTCAATTTTTTTCTCTCAGTTTTTCCAGGGCATGTCAATTTTTGCCACGAGTGATTTTCTCGTCGATTGAAAATAGAACCTCTTCCAGAAATCGAAACTGTTGAATGAAATCGTGACATCACCAGCTCTGACTGTTGCAATGTGGTTTGGCCTTAGTTTAGACTACCTTTATATAAAAATTGTCATTATAAGATCTTTGGATGCAAATTAGTGCTGAGTCTCGTTGATGTTATGCTGTGAAATCGTTCTAATAATGATAAGTTTAATTGCAAAACCAACCAACTGTTGTCGATAAAGTTGGTATTATTTTGTATCAAAATATCTTTTCAAATATCAACAAACAGTTTCATTAATACGATAGTATAATGTCAAATTCAAGAGAACTCAGCTGTATCCCCTCCGGCTCTCAAAGTTCGAAGTCATGACATTTATTGTAAATATCACACTAACTCTCTCGAAAAAAAACATTGCCGCCTTATTTTTGATTCACCGAGTTCCAACAGAATTGCTCAAACACGTTGATGTCTACTTTGAGGGTTTCAAACGCTCAGATCTTCCACTTACAATGTTCCTCTGGCAACAGCAGACGCGGACCAAAATCGTTTTTCTATGATTATTTTGATGTTCTCAACGGTGTAGATTTTTTTTAACTTGGATTTGATGAGCATATCTGACCAAATTCTAAAACATTTTCAAAATCAAGTCAGGATAAGTTTTTCCCTCAGATCTCTATTAAAATCACGCAAAAAGTTAACTCACAATTCCAGGGATGTTTGATTGCTTGGTGTTCCAGTAGCTAATCGCTTCAGCAACTTCTGTGTAAGTTCGATTTTTTTTCTTAGTTTTTCCGGGGCATGTCAAATTTTTTGCCACGACTGATTTTCTCATCGATTGAAAATAGAACCTATTCCGTGGACTGAAATTGTTGAATGAAATCGTGACATCCCCAGCTTGTGACTGTCGCCATATAGTAAAGCCTTAATTTAGACTAACTTCAATAAAAAAAACTTATAGTTGGATGCAAATAAGTGCTGGGTCTCGTCGATGTTATGCGATGAAATCATTCTAAAAATGATATAATTTTTTGCAAATCCAACCAACTGGTTTCGATGTTGGTGGTATGACTTTGTGTCAAACTGTTTTTTAACAAATATCAATAAACA